TCACACACACACTCACACTCACACACACACACACACACACACTCACACTCTCACACACACACACACACTCACACTCACACACACACACTCACACACACACACACACACACACTCACACACACACTCACACACACACACACACACACACACACACACACACACACTCACACACACACACACACACTCACACTCACACTCACACACACACACACACACACACACACACACACACACACACACACCTCTCTGCCGCTTTACATCTCACCTTAAATGGGTGATGATCTATCGTCTCCATAGCTTGTCTCTAATGTTGGAGACATGTGGTCAATGTTGAGAAGACATCATGAAGAACAACAATACTTGTCTGTATTAAAGGAAGTGATGTCCTCTTTCTCATCAGAGACCAAGCAGGAGCTGGAGGACCTCACAGCCGACATCAAGAAGACCGCCAATAAAGTCCGCTCAAAATTAAAAGGTTTGTAACTCAGTCATGTGACACCTCAAAGGTACAAGGACACCTGAATGCACCACGCAGGACCGTCACACAGTAATTAGAGGATTTCTTGTTATATTATTTAATATGATGGGTCTTCTATTAGAGCATTTATGGTGATATTATTATGGTACAATTGTACAAATAGTAGATGTTCTATTAGACGATGTGCGGCTTCCCCTCAGGTTGAGTTGACCTGATTCAAACACGTTGTGATTCATTGAGACTGTAATCACACACAAGCACACACTCGCACAAACACACAGAAACACCAACACACACACTTGTGTATTTGTAAACATCTGCAGTATTTGTTCTTCCTGTCTGCGTCTCATTGGCTCTTTAGATAAGTTTGATCCCTTATCAAGTGTTTACCAACTAGACAATTCAGTAATGAATGAAAACATAATAAAACACAGACTTGATGAAGATGAGGATGTTGATGAAGATGAACCAACACAATGTTCTGTGTGTGTTTTTTTCCTGCAGCAATCGAGCAGAGCATCGAGCAGGAGGAGGGTCTCAACAGATCATCAGCGGACCTCAGGATCCGTAAGACACAGGTGAGACCTCGTCCCTCAGGTGTCCATCGGGTGTCTTCTGAATGAATCACAGTAGGAGAGTTGTTTATTTTATCTTAATGAACTTAATTGTTGGAATGCTTGAAGTATTGTTCTTCGAATCTATTCAACGTCTTATTATTGTTGGAACGCTGCTTCAGCATCTGGAGTGTAGAGCAGTGTCAGAATCTGGTTAAAAAAATATTGCACTTTTGCCCTCACGGCCACAATATACACTTTTCAGGCTTCATTGTTGGACAAAATGGTTCCGTGCTTGTGCTGCTTGTAGTCATGTGGCTGTGGAATCCCACAGACATTTACTTTTGGCCTGAGGAGCCTGAGAGTGAGACAATGTCTGTCTCCAGCCCCATAGGCTCCAATGCAAATCTGCTGACACGTTTCTCAAAGAAAACAGAAGGTACATGTTGTGTAAACTGCCACAGGAGCCGTATTTATTACCGGACAGACATACAAAGCACATGGTCGCGTTCGGTAGAGTCCAGGGTCTCTCAAAATAACCTTATCTATTAGACAGCCGTTATAGTTTTGCACTAGAGGACACTTGTTTGAGTCTCTGTCCTTTCAGCAGGTGTGCCAATACCGTGGATACTCACATACACACTGCAGTCTGTGTCTCAAAGTTGCTAGGCTGCATCCTTAAGGACGCATATGTCCTGCGACTCTCCTGTCCCAATCAGTCGGCTCCTCCGGACCCGGTCGAGGGACACATTCCTCCAGGAGGAGGAGCCGACTGATTTGGACGACACATCTGATCCAGCATATCCCAGCATGCAGTGCGGGCCGACGAGGATTTAATTTATTCAGGACGGAGGCAGTGATCCGCTAGCGCAGAAGAGTTCACTTTTAAATGTAGCCTTAAGTAATAGAATTCACTGGAATATCTACCAATAGAAGTCTTATAATATAATATATAACGTCACATCTTAGTTTATGAAATCAGTTAAGTTACGTGACGTTGGTAACCGATGTCGTGTTGTACATATTCTGTAATACAGTTAAAATAGCTTGTATCCTATGCTGTTGCTGTTCCTCTTTTTAGTGACTACATTGATGGAATCTCCTCTGCCTTAAGATTTCAATATTACTTTTAGCTGAAAGTAATTATAAATTAGTAAAGTATTATACATTACCAGATTTAATTTGAATTTAAAATAACTGGAAAATGTTCTTCTCTCAGCCTGAAGTATATCACGCTCCGGAGGAGAAGCGTAAATTCCTAAATTAAATGAAATAAGAAGATTATCTTTATCTCTACTTTATATGTTTTTCTGGTTTTAAGGCTTTTATTGTTAAGCTCAGCAGGTTGCTAGGCAACGGGAGCAGCGCAGGTAAAGCTGATGACGCAAGCAGGAAGTCCCTGCCTACGCGGTTGTTGGAGGACCAGACCAGGTCTACGAAGACTGCTGAAGGCTACAAGGATGCAGCCTAGCCACTTTGAGACTGTTTGTCTCACATAGCTGAACCATAGCTGATTAGTGGAGTCACATGACGCCGCTGCTTTCTGTCAACAGACCAACATGATGAAGCCCCTCCCTTTCACCTCTGCCACCCCCCCACTCCCCTCAGTCCACATACACGCTCTGGGGACGTGGTGGTGTTGGGTGGTGTTGGTGGTGTGGTGCTCTGTAGCCCATATGTGAGAGTGATGGTTGTGTGTCTCTATGTGACTGGAGACCAGTCCAGTGGACCCTGTCTCCCCTCCCATGCTAACTGGGACTGACTCCACCCCCTTACAACCCTCTAAGGCGGGGTCTCAAAACTCAAATCAGGTGCACTGGACGCCGGAGTTTGAGACCCCCGCCGGATGACTTTGCTATTGTGGGATTACAGAACGGTCCTCACACATGTGCGGCCGCTGGTGCTTCTTTTATATCCCCCCGCGTCGGTTGAAGCGTTCACCACCCTGCCCGGCTCGTCAGCGCCTCCGACTTTAATGGTCTGGTTCGATCAAAGTGGGCAGCATCTGAAAGGAGTTTGACGCCCCTGAAGATGATTGAACATATATTATATCATATAGCGAGTTGTGGAAAGTATTTCTATGTCCCGCCACTTCGTACTATATATAATAGTAATAATACTATATAGAAACACATATTGTATTACTTTGTGTTATCTGTTTCATCTCCCTCTCTGTTGACGTCTCGCAGCACTCGACACTGTCTCGTAAGTTTGTTGAGGTGATGACTGAGTACAACACCACGCAGTCAAAGTACCGCGACCGCTGCAAGGACCGTATCCAGAGACAGCTGGAGATCAGTGAGTACTGGAACACACTGATCACACCGCGTGTGCAACATCCTTTACTCAGAAATAAGAAGAGTCGGATGGAAGTAATTCAGTTTTAATGACATGTGATGTACCATGTGACATGCAACGTACTAGGTGACATGTAACACACCATGTGACATGTGGCGTACTATGTGACATGTAACACACCATGTGACATGTGGCGTACTATGTGACATGTAACACACCATGTGACATGTAACGTACTATGTGACATGTAACACACCATGTGACATGTAACGTACTATGTGACATGTAACACACCATGTGACATGTGGCGTACTATGTGACATACTATGTGACATGTAACACACCATGTGACATGTGACGTACTATGTGACATGTCACACACCGTGTGACATGTGACGTACTATGTGACATGTGATGTACCATGTGACGTACTATGTGACATGTAACACACCACGTGACATGTGACGTACTATGTGACGTGTGATGTACCATGTGACGTACTATGTGATATGTAACACACCACGTGACATGTAACACACCATGTGACGTACTATGTGACATGTAAAACACCATGTGACTTGTGACAAACTATGTGACATGTAACACACCATGTGACATGTGATGTACCATGTGACATGTGACGTACTATGTGACATGTAACACACCACGTGACATGTAACACACCATGTGACGTACTATGTGACTAGTAAAACACCATGTGACTTGTGACGAACTATGTGACATGTAACACACCATGTGACATGTGATGTACCATGTGACATGTGACGTACTATGTGACATGTAACACACCATGTGACATGTGATGTACCATGTGACATGTGACGTACTATGTGACATGTAACACACCATGTGACGTACTATGTGACATGTAACACACCATGTGACATGTGATGTACCATGTGACATGTGACGGGTTATGTGACATGTAACACACCATGTGACATGTGATGTACCATGTGACATGTGACGTACTATGTGACATGTAACACACCATGTGACGTACTATGTGACATGTAACACACCATGTGACATGTGACGTACTATGTGACATGTAACACACCATGTAACGTACTATGTGACATGTAACACACCATGTGACATGTAACACACCATGTGACATGTGACGTACTCTGTTCCATGTGACGTACTATGTGACATGTAACACACCATGTGACGTACTATGTGACATGTAACACACCATGTGACATGACACGTGCCCGTTCCTGCTCTAAATGTTCTGTCTCTGTGTTCCGTTTGCAGCTGGGAGAACCACCACCAACGAAGAACTAGAGGACATGTTGGAGAGTGGCAAGCTGGCCATTTTCACCGATGATGTAAGCACCGCACCTGAGCCTCACTTTAACTGAGCCATTCTGCTTCCCGCTATGGTTACCGTTACCTGGGCTGCAGAATCGCCACGAGGTGCGCTGAGACATCAAGTGAACACGGCCGTTGTCACATGGCATGTAACAAAAGGAGGATGCACTATTAGGGCTTTTATTTTGACTGCTTAACTATCATTCACTCTTTCAAACTAAAAGCTCAAATACATGCATGCACCTCTGCCTCTGTCCCAAGCTGAGCGAGTCACGTGACCTGATGGTTGCTGTTGGGTCACGTGACTTAACGGCGAGCTGAAAACCCAATCATTTGAGACTGAGCTCCTCTGGTTGAAACCACGCACACCTGTGATGTCACGGCGTCCCAACCAGTGGAGGTCAGACACGCGGTTTATAGTCGGCGTTAAGTCACACTGTAAGCAGGTAAGTAAACAGAACACGTCACACCACTCGGACCTGATGACAGACCTGGAGGTCAAATATCGCCACCAACGCTGGACCGAGCCGTCGGGACAGAGGATGTCGCATGTGCACCGACTGTAAAGCCCTCACAGGCACATGTGTGATTTGGGGCTGTACAAAATAAAATGATTGGACTTGGAAACACAAATCGATTTTGACCGGACAAACGAAAAAATCGTTATTTCACAGTTTTTCAGAGTCACTTTCCTGATAAACTTTGACAATAGAGAACAGGGCTAGATCGCCATGATGTTGATTGAAAAGAAAAAAGGATTTTAGAGGAGGGAGATTCACAGCTCAGTGTCTTTGTTATGAGCTTGATGTCATTAAAACTAGAGAGTCTCACTCTCGACTGCACATAATGGAAGATTAAAGCAGTTTTGCTTACTTGTTCTTTATTTGTATGCAGTCAACAATACTCTGCCTGGTGCACTTATCCGGGGCTCCGCGTAAGTGGTGCACCCCCTAAATCTGTCCCCCCTACAACAGTACTGCAACAAACGATCCTATTGTTACATGCAGCATCATAATGACACGAGTCTGAACTCTTCTGAGACCCGGCGGCCCTTAACTCAAAAGCAGGGTTGTTAGTCCCTGGTGGCAAGTTTCTGTTCCCCCAAACAGGTGAGTAATGTTCCTTCACCAAGAACGTAACACCTGCTGCCACAGTGTCAGCGCATCAGTAACAAAGGGTTTGCAGTGTCTGTTTGCTGAATAACGGTAGAGATTTAAGGGGCTTTTGGAAGTTGAGTAAATTTGAAGCTTTGACTTCACGTGGCTGTAGCAGAGTTAGCTTGTTATTTCCATGACGGTTACAGGAAATGAGCCGAACCGTTACCATAGTTACCATAGTAACTAATAACTACAGACATTTCTCTTTTACTGGTCAAACGAGCTGTACAACGTTATTCTGGCTCTTGTGTTTTGTATTGTTGGTAAACCATTGGGGCGAAGTAACGCTTGGGCTAAAAGACGTCCTGTCCCTCAGATCAAGATGGACTCTCAGATGACCAAGCAGGCCCTGAACGAGATCGAGACCCGGCACACCGAGATCATCAAGCTGGAGAACAGCATCCGTGAGCTGCACGACATGTTCGTGGACATGGCCATGTTGGTGGAGAGCCAGGTGGGGGCGTGAAAGCGTCAGATGAATGTCAAAGTAAAACAGAGCTGATGAGCCAACGAGACATGAACCAGCATCGGGCCTTTTACACATTCATTCTTTATTTAAGTTCTAGTAAGTCCATCTTATTCTCCGTGACCTTTTTCCAGCTGCCCGCGTTGCGCAGCGTCCTGGTGGCGTGAGAGTCGCCTCCAACATAAAAGCACAAAGCAAGTCAGAAACGGTTACGTGTGTGTGTGTGTGTGCGTTTCAGGGGGAGATGATTGACAGAATCGAGTACAACGTGGAGCACTCTGTGGACTACGTGGAGCGAGCCGTGTCCGACACCAAGAAGGCCGTGAAGTACCAGAGTCAGGCCCGCAAGGTAACGTGTGCGTCCGCCCGGACGCCGCCGTGACCGCAAAGCGCCGCCGCCCACCTGTGTGTGTGTGTCTCCCCCTGCAGAAGAAGATCATGATCATCATCTGCTGCGTCATCCTGGGCGTGGTCCTGGCGTCGACCATCGGCGGCACGCTGGGCTTCTAGACCGCCGACCGCCAGCATCGAGACGGGAAACCATGACGACGAAAACGACGACGACCACGACGACGCGACTGAAAAACTTGAAACACAAATGCAAGACAGACAACAATCAGCTAGGAAGAGAAAACGATCCAATCACAGTTTGAAACATGGGGCCGGGTGGGGTTCAAAAAACAAAGGCAAAAAAAACACGGCAGCCTAGCTGACCGAAATACGCCGCGTATACAAAAAGAAGGGTACAAATAAACCCGCTATTTATTGCAGATGTACACGTGTTGAACATACATGCGTTGGTTAACCTGTAAAGAAACATTAACGTTAGTTTGGTTCGCCTTGTTTCCTTATTATTTCTTTGGGGAGTCTCTGGGGAAATGAAGCCGGCCGCGTGGGGAGGCGTTCCAGCTCAGGGGGGGGCGACCTGTAGGACGAGGAGAGAGGGCGACACGCCGCCATCAGCCGGTGGACCGCGAGGTGTGTGTTTGTGGGGGGGGTCGTCATTGCAGCGGGGCAGGTTTCCATGACAACAGGCTCCCCTTCATGTCACATCTATCCAACCAAAGAGCAGGGGGGGGGGGGGGCGAGAGCTGAAGGTGGGGGTTCCTAAGAGCCGGGAGGAGGCGGGCAGTCAATCTATGCAGTTTAGATAAATGGAAGACGACTCGTCCCGCCTCCCCGAGTCTGCCAATGAGGACAGGGCTGTTCTTCCAGAAGATTCTAAGAAAATAACAATAAACAGAACACATTAAAAAGTGAATGAGAAGGAAACCGAGTTGAGGAAGGAGCTCCCGGCCGGAGGCGCGGTTTGCCGTTGCTTGGTGGTCCCGGGGCCTGTCCGCCCCACGTCATCTCTGCTACTGTTCATCCGCCCCCCCGCGCCCACCGTTCTTTGGGGTTGGTGATACGAGGCTTCGTCCCATCTGTGGATCATGTGACACGCATCCACCACACGGCGTGTGCATAAAGAACTTGTATACATACACACCGGACCCCCCCACTCCCCTCTGTGTTACATATCACGCCAGTGCTAGACTGGGTCGCTTAGCATGCCGTAGCGTTAGCTCGTGTTACATGTAGGTCGTGTAGAAGCTGCTTGTTGGAGATTGATCTCTTTTTTTTCGGGTCTTTTTATTTGACATGAAATACACTTTTCGTGTGTCCAGACTGGTGTTGAGGAACAAATAAACCTTTGAGCTCGTTCGCTGATCTCAACACGAGGTTCCATCGCTTGTTTTTTCCAGAGCGGTTCTTTCTTTGCTAATTAGATCTGACGACGACCGTTCTTTGCAAATTTTGTGAAACGAGGTGTATTTTCTCTCCTTTTGGCCTCTTTCACAACGATGTAGCAATATACACAGAAATCATACGACGTATTAACTGTCTATCAGACACCGTTAGCATTAGCCGCGCAACTCCCTCTGCTTCTTTTACAGCAGCGAAGCTTTTCAACGGGAGATCATTTGAAGCGGCGTGTAAACCTCAACACTGCTCTGGGTCGGGGCCACACGCGTGTGCGTTACGTTTGTCGTACTAGCATGTTTTGTTCTGTTAATGTGATTCCGTGTTGAGAAGTAACACTATACGTGTGTGTTGCCCCGATCAGGATGCACGGGGTGTGTGTGTGTGTGTGTGTGTGTGTGTTGAAAATGACTACACGGTATTGTGACTCTGGCTTCACGTCAGGGGGCAGGGAGGCGCTTTGAGGAGGGAGGGGGGCAAACGCCACCTTAAACCCACCCGACCGCCCCGCGCTTCACTCAGTCAAAGCAATAAAGTCACTTTGTTATCGCTAAGTTTCATTTAGAAGGATAAAGTGTTAGCTAGCCGTCTCCACCCGAACCCGACGCTGCCTCGCAAAGCGGCCGCAATCTTATCACCTGGAGTCCAAACATCGGCGTCTTTAGGCTCCTCTGGACGTCTTTACGCGTCTTTAGGCTCCTCTGGACGTCTTTAGGCTCCTCTGGACGTCTTTACGCGTCTTTAGGCTCCTCTGGACGTCTTTAGGCTCCTCTGGACGTCTTTACGCGTCTTTAGGCTCCTCTGGACGTCTTTACGTCCCGACGAGGCTCCTTCCGGTCGCTGAGCGGAGCTGCTTGTTGAACACGTGTGTCTTTGGGCGTCGTAGTGATAGATAGTGATTAGCGCCGTTACCCATCGATGTCTGTGATATTTGTCGCTAGATTAAATAAAGAAACGAGGGCTTTGAGCTCCAGGTTTGGAGAAGAGTGGATGTGGGACTTTTTCTTTTATTCTTTTACTTCCCAAAACCAAAATTTCTGTGTTGACCAAAGCTTAGCAAACACGAGCCCTCCGAGCAGCATCAGTCCAGTAGACGTGTAGATCCGTAGATGTAGAATGAAGCACTTTTCTCTGCTGTAGTGTTGGTAGATTCATCCCGTCTTTCTGAGTGTTTTTTAGATGTACAACAGACACTGAATCTGTTCACAAAGGGATTTAACCAGTTGTTTTAACTACATTTCCCAGGTGTCTCCGCGGAGCTCTCAAACCATGTTGGGTTTCCCTCTAAAGATCACGGTGGGCGGTCGTTGTGGGCGGTTGTGGGCGGTTGTGGGCGGTTGTTGTGGGCGGTTGTTGTGGGCGGTTGTGGGCGGTTGTTGTGGGCGGGTTGTTGTGGGCGGTTGTTGTGGGCGATTGTTGTGGGCGGTTGTAGTGGGCGGTTGTGGGCGGTTGTTGTGGGCGGTTGTTGTGAGCGGTTGTTGTGGGCGGTTGTGGGCGGTTGTTGTGGGCGGTTGTTGTGGGCGTTCCGATGTTTAGCCGGCGGAAGGCAGAGCAGCGGCATGAGGGTCTCTTGCTGTGTTTCCTGTGACGTTCCTGTGATTTTCGCCCTTCTGTCTTCCTTTTTCCTGTTTGTGTCGTTGGTTGTACGGAAAAAAAAGAGTATTGAGCCTGAGAGCCTGAGAGCTCCCGTCCCCGGGGGCCCTCGCCCCCCCGCCGTGTGTAACGATGATTATACTGATCACATCAATAATAACAATGGTAATAAAAAAGGCATGCAAGCGTTGTGGAGTTTGCATGATGGTGTTTTTTGTACCCCACCCTCAACCTGCCCTCCATGTCGAGCACTTTACCGCTCAGCCGACCTGATGTTGGGTTGCACATTAGCACGTTAGCTGACTACTTGTTCCTACTTGCGATCTCGGCTGGTTTTGAATCTCAAAGGTTAAACACGTGATTAGTTGGTCACTTGGTCGGAGTTAGAAGGACTGAGGGGAACTTTTCAAAGCAGAACTTTTGAAATATGCTGCCGTTACTTACAGCCATCTTTGCCCCCGTCAGTGACCTCCAACCCCTGTCACCCCCCCGGATTACCTCGGTTACCATCTGTGTGCTGTTTGCTTCCATGGATGCGTGTTGTGTGTTATTGGGCCCCCCGGCCCCCTCGGGCCTCCTGTCAGTGAACCCGGTTCAACCTGTGCGCGTCCAGTTGGTTTAGATGTGCGAAGCCGCTTGATGAATTCCACTTTTGTTTGTTTGTTTTCATTGTTGACAGATGGAAGAAGAGATCCAACATATTTATAGGACGCTATGATCGCTGTTATTATTTATTAACATTCAAACCAAAGCGCCCCCTTCATGTAATCAAAAAATGATTTGCGCCAAAATCAAAGAGCACAAAGTTTAAACTTAATAAAGATATTTGTTACAAACAGTAAAAATATGTCGTAACAAAACCTCTAAATGTTACTAAACAACAACAACGGCCCCCAAGCCGCTGCGCGCCCCCCTTTCCTTTACTCATGAGCATCAATTATGATAATTAGCATATTAGCTTCTCTACTCGAGGCCGAGGCCACGTGGTGCTTTCTTCTATTTAAAGATTTCGCTGTTCTTCTTCATTTGTTTGTATTGTTCTGTCGGTTCCTGCGCTCATGTCACCTTTTTAGGGTTTAGATGTTCTTCTGGCTCGTTAGTCTGTTTCTTCTTCTCGTCTGGTTTGTCTGGAACCCGTTCAAGGACTCGAGTGAAGCAGCGGACAAAAGTCGTAATGTTTTGATGCAAAATTAGTCACCTTTTGTTTGGGATTTGAGATTTGCTTTTATACAATTTATATATATAAATCGTACATCAACATACTGCGTTTCTATAGCTGTGTGTGTGTGTGTGTGTGTGTGTGTGTGTGTGTGTGTGTGTGTGTGAAACCACGACCACTTCTGTTGGCTCTACAGTTTTTTTGACAGCGGGAAGCAAAATAAAATCATAAAGAGAGAGTTTGGTTGCCAAAGATTGACTCGCCGTTAGCCGTTAGCCGCTAGCTGCTAGCCGCTGGCCGCTAGCCTGTGTGGAAGTGACCGCGTGTAGCGCCGCACACGGGTGCTGAAAGGAGACTTTCTGTAGCTCGGACGATTAAACTCTTTCAACGTGATGATTTTTGTCTTCCTGAAGAATCGTTTCTCAGTGAAAAACAACAACCTGTTGATGATTATGAAGTGGAGGCGTTTGTTTACTTGTTTGTTGTTTGCTTCATTCTGCTCGCTCTCCATCGCACGATTGGGTTCCAATCATAGTTATTTATCCTTTGTAGGGAGAGGGGAGGAGTCATGGGGGAGGGGCAATAAGCTAGGCCACGCCCACACATTCCCTGTCACAGCAAGTAGGAAACTTAAATGACATTGCTATTATCCTCATTATTATTATTATTATTATTACCATAAATGACAAATATTAATGCAGGAAAACATTTGCAAAAAACAGAGGGCGACTTTTAAAAAGGGTGTAATGATTCTGTAATAGCAATGAAGTACAAAAGGAGTTATGCTATAATAAATAATACTAGTAATATTGAATATTGAATGCTCGCAATTTTGTCAAAATGAAACTGGATTATTTGTGTTATGTAATTATTGTAAATAACTTCAAAGAGAGAAAAAATGACTTGCATGTCTATGTATAAATCTACTGAGATATCTATTCCCTTCAAAGTTGACGAGTAGCTTGATCTCTGTCCTCCCTCCCGATCGTCTTTGCTCTCCGCGTGGTTGAGAGACGACAGCAGAGAGACAGACACACAAAGCTTCCAGCGTCTTCGTTTGTCTCGCTCAGTTCAGACACTGCTTTTAAAAAACAAAAACAAAAACGGTGTTGTTGTTGTTGTTTTCCTCAAATGAACTCGGAACCCGTTTACAAGTGGAAAGAAAACCCGGCCACAATCACACCTACGTCAATCATACCTGTCCCAGAGGCTCCGCCCACTGGCTCCTCTGATGAAAGTGCTTCCCTCCATATTAGAAGAGTTAATCCCCCCCCCTCACTTAGCGGGTCTCTCTCTCTCTCTCTGCTTGTCTGTCTGACTCTCTCGACCACAGCTACCCACCACCCGGTCTCTCTACCTACCATGTACCCCAGCAATTAGCCCATACCCACTGCTAACCTTCGCTAGCACCCACTGCTAACCTTCGCTAGCACCCACTGCTAACCTTCGCTAGCATGTGCAGATCAAGGATGGCGGCAAATTTGAGCATTGTTGACAAAGACGTGCCGTGTTGATTTACTGATCGTGGAGAGGTTTCTTTTAGTAAAAACCAAATCACCATCAGGTGTAAATCAATGGTCTCAGTCCCACTGTAAGTCAATGGTCTGACCTCGTCTCAGTCCCACTGTAAGTCAATGGTCTGACCTTGTCTCAGTCCCACTGTAAGTCAATGGTCTGACCTTGTCTCAGTCCCACTGTAAGTCAATGGTCTGACCTCGTCTCAGTCCCACTGTAAGTCAATGGTCTGACCTTGTCTCAGTCCCACTGTAAGTCAATGGTCTGACCTCGTCTCAGTCCCACTGTAAGTCAATGGACTGACCTCGTCTCAGTCCCACTGTAAGTCAATGGTCTGACCTCGTCTCAGTCCCACTGTAAGTCAATGGTCTGACCTTGTCTCAGTCCCACTGTAAGTCAATGGTCTGACCTCGTCTCAGTCCCACTGTAAGTCAATGGTCTGACCTCGTCTCAGTCCCACTGTAAGTCAATGGGCCGCTCACCATCACGTATTTGTCCGGGTTCCTGGAGGAGGTTTTAGTGTCAGTTTCTCAAAGATGGGGAAGCCACTCAAAGCTGAGCTCCTCATCGGAAGCAGCTTCGCGCCTTCAAACGTTCTGAGGACGAAGTTACCCCCCCCCCCCCCCCCCCCATGTGGGTCGGCGGGTCCGGCCTCAAAGGCCGACTGCAACGCGCGATATAAATATTCAGAGAAACCAGGGCTTTTGTCCATGATGAGCTCACGCCTCCAGCAGGGACCCCATTCACAGCTTTAACTCAGAATGCAGGGGGGGGTAAGACAAGAGGGGGGGTCACTAAAACAACACACCCACTGAAGGACAGAGCGTCGCTCTCCACAACAACTTTGACTGGAAATGCAACTTGTCTCCCGTTTCTTTTTTGTGTGTATGTGTGCGTAGCGTAATGTAAAAGAGATCTGTCCCCCCTCCACGCCCCGTCCCACCCTTCCTCCCTGTCCTCCCCCTCCTCCCCCTCCTCTCTCGTACTGCTGTTGGCTGTTCTGTTTAGTTCATGTGACGTGCCAGTATCCCTCCCCTTTTACCCCCCCCCCTTCATGGATCTTTAAGATGACAACTCTATGCAGATGCTGTCTTTTATAAGTGTGTCAAAATTTTAATTTAAAATAAAATCTTCAACAAAAAAAACCCTGACAGACATATTGAAATGAAAACAAAAAATGAATAAAGAAACGGATTGTTCAGTGTACTTGGTCTCATGTCTCCTTTGCTCACACTTTGCTCCTCCAGAGGTTTCAGTCTGTGCAGCAGCTGGAAGGATTTTATTGGTAAATATCAGTTCAAACCTCGGGATGAAAATGATTCTGTTATTGAAGTTTTATTTTTGCATACATTTTAGCATCTTCTTATTCATTAAAGCTTTGAAGAATGACTAATTGTTTTATATGGATCATTTTTCCTTAACTTTTCTTTTCTTTATGTCCTGACTTTTTTTGTTAATTAAAAAAAAGATAATTTGTTCAGGAAAGAAAATGAGATATAGATTATATAAATAAAGATGTCTAACCTCTTATTGCAGAATATTAAGTAATTATCCTAATTTCTTACATTTCATTCCAGCTTGACGAGTTTAACTTTTAAGATTAAGTCATCTTTTAACTATTATTACAGTAAACTTAGTAAAAAACTGATATTTTGGTAGTTTCTTTAATTCCATTCCAATTATTTCCATGTATAACTTTTAGGGTTAAAATAAATAAATGATTTTAGGGTAGTGTTTTTGGGTAGTTTTTATCAAACAAACCTTTTTGAGGGGGACATTTTCATCATTGGATGAATTCACATTTGAGTATTTTGATCAGATCACATTTTATCTGAAATATAAACCTAATGTTGCTGTTTTGCTTTGTTCATGTGTGTTTTTGCTTTTCTGAAGTCCTACAGGTAAATTAGGTCAGTTTAGTGTTTTGATCGTTTCTATCTGGTCATATACATGACCATATATATACATATATATATACACATATATATATACACATGTGGCGTATGTGTGTCCATGTGTCTGTACAGAAATAGAAACGAGAACCGCTCCCCCTGCAAAGTTGTAAACTAGGAGAAACCCTGGAATTATAATACAAAGGTGTTTGGTTCATTTTGAATAATGTTTTGTAGTAAATAAATCATGAGTTGTGACCACGTGAAAATGTCTTTCTGAAAAGCGCAGCGTCGTCAGCCGTTTTCATTTTGGAGCCTAAAAAGATGAACTTATGTTTTATACGTTTGACCCTCCACATCAGGGCGCCGGCCAGGTCGACCGCCGAGGCCGAAAACCGCGGGAGCTAATGGAAAGCTAATGCTAATTAGCAATCTTTGCTTCCCAAACACACATTGAATCTCACGAGGAAGCCAGTCTGACTCCATCAGTGCGAATCGCTTCCGACAGACAAGAGGCTCGTTCTGCGTTTCATATCGATTCTGTTCCGTCTGGTTGCCGATACTTCACGACTCGTTTGCTCGACTGATGAACCCGTCAGCCGGCACGTGGTTGGTTGAAATAAAGCTTATGAGCTGAGAAGGTCACAAGCTCCTCTGCATCCCTGCTCCACATCATCATCATCGTCTTCATCATTGGGAACACTGTATTGGACACTGTTTGAGCAGGACTTGTCTCTCTGCTACACGTCTTCAGTGTCAACAGAAGAAGAGGACGTTTTTATCGTCTTGTGTCTCCTCTGATCTGAAAGGCTGTTGTGTTGCGTAGCAGGAAACAGGAAGTCGTGAGTCGCTGCGGTTTGTGGCGTTATGGAGGTTGGAATCTCAGCCGATCCCTGAGCTGGATGTTTCAATGGTGTATGAACAAAATTGCAGAATAACACTGAAATCCAAAACTCAGCTGGACTGTGAGATACCGGGAGCCGCTCTGCAGGAACCGCTGTGTTCCCCAAATTACCATCAATGCTGGAAACATATCGTATATATCATATATTCTCCAGTAGTAATGAGAAGCAGTCTGCAGATTCACTCCACGTGCAACAGATTCCTCGGCGCCAAAATTGACTTACAAGTTGGCGGCGAGCCATGAAAAGTGTTTTCCCGGCAAAACACTTTAAATACGACTCGTCCCCCCAAAATTCTTTGGAGACGTTATTTTAAAAAAGCCTCACAATTAGGGGATGCGTGGAACACCATCAGTGACATGCAGGTGGAGTAGTTTCACACATTATAACCAGCAGATGGCAGAATCCAAAAACCAAGTCACTACTTACTGTGTTAGCCTTCATGTTAGCATTACTAGCTGTGCTGTTAGCCTTCATGTTAGCATTACTAGCTGTGCTGTTATCCTTCATGTTAGCATTACTAGCTGTGCTGTTAGCCTTCATGTTAGCATTACTAGCTGTGCTGTGTTAGCCTTCATGTTAGCATTACTAGCTGTGCTGTGTTAGCCTTCATGTTAGCATTACTAGCTGTGCTGTTAGCCTTCATGTTAGCAATACTAGCTGTGCTGTTAGCCTTCATGTTAGCAATACTAGCTGTGCTGTTAGCCTTCATGCATTACTAGCTGTGCTGTTAGCCTTCATGTTAGCATTACTAGCTGTGCTGTTAGCCTTCATGTTAGCATTAATAGCTGTGCTGTGTTAGCCTTCATGTTAGCATTACTAGCTGTGCTGTTAGCCTTCATGTTAGCATTACTAGCTGTGCTGTGTTAGCCTTCATGTTAGCATTACTAGCTGTGCTGTGTTAGCCTTCATGTTAGCATTACTAGCCTTCCAATTAGAGTTACTATGTTAGACAGCAGAATTATCAGATGTAACGTCAGCGTCAAATGAAATTGTAGAAGCTTTTTATTTACTCCTATGACATATTATACTATCATATTTGACAACATTCCATGTTTTATGACATCGTTTTTCGTGGGGTGACTGCTCGGTGGTCGAGTGCCATTAATCAAAAAGAGGATCTGCGGTTTATTTCCTCGCCGACGTGCCCTCTAGCAACACACTGCTCCCTCACACAACTCATGACATTTTAATGACACACTATGACGACACACAATAATGATTACACATAAATAAACGGTATCGTCCCTAATGAAGCAAGCAGGGAGGTCACGTGACTCGATGTAGATGAGCAGAACCCATTGAACACACGGATTTGTTCAGCTATTTATTTTCAGTAATCAGCAGTAACGATTATAGTATATGGACAAGTTCTTCTGTTAAGAAATGAATTATCAAAACATAGTTTATAAAAGTGTATAGTAAGCATAACACAGACATATATATATATATATATATTAATATATATATATATATATATTAATATATATATATATTAATATATATATATATTAATATCAGTATGTAGTATATATATATATATATATATATATATATATATATATATATATATATATATTATATTATTTTATATATAATAATATATATATAAAAAATATATTTTATATATATATATATATATATATATAAAATAATATATATTATATATATATATAAAATATATATAATGCATGGAAACAAAAGGTTAAAACGTAAATAAATGTTGTTATAGTTGTTCCAAACGTCTTCCTCCTCTCTAAGAACTACTTGAAATGCAGGCGGGAAAGTTTTCACTCCAAAAAACCAACATGGTGGAGGAGGAAGCAGAAATACGGAACGTACAGTTATTATTATTTCTGTGTTCTAGATCACATGTTCTACAGCATCAACGTCACTGCACGGCTTGGACCACCTTGTTATTTATTTTAACTAGCACCAGTGCTCCAGAAAAACGCTGACAAACCGTGTTCTTCAAAAACACACACGGAGGACTCCAAATAGTCAAAAAACGCAATTAAATAAAAAGAATAAAAAAAGAAACACCAATAAATACAAGAGGCTACCATGAAAAAAAACAAGAAACGGTTTGAAATGAAAAAGGAACGAATGAGCTCCAGACAAAGAGGGTCACCAAGACGGGAGTTTGACTTTTAGTGAAAACGGGGAAGTGATGCCTGTGTGTGTGTGTGGGGGGGGTGTGGGGGGGGTTAATGGGACAATGGGAAGGCCCATCACAAGACCATCACAACATCACTCGTTAAAAAGGCAAGAAGAGTAAAAAAAGGTCCACCATCTCAGCGAGACAGGGGCATTCTGGGTAACGGTTTGGGGGGGAGGGGGGGGGAAGTGTTTACATCAACACAGCTCTAAACTCACACATCCTAAAGACTAGCGCCGTCCATTACAAGTGTTAATAACAATATAAATAAATGCATTACTACAATGGTCTGTCGTCTTTTTTCCTTCTTATAAAAGAGGTACTTTAGATATCAGAAGTACGATTACAATACAATATACAACCTTCACGGTACTTTGTGGGGTTTGTTTCTCCTTTTTACAACATAAAGTCACAGATTCAGACCTCGATCACTCAGACACAGCGAGACGGAGACGGGCGTCACTGGAGAGGACCTGAGAAACAAGATGGCGTCTCTCTGCGTAGTCTGACGCCTCAATTCTTTTGTCTTAAATGAATTGGTGTCCTTGTTTGACTTTTAACCCCGTACGTTTGTTTTACAGCTGAAAGCACGGTGAAAAACACATGCAATTAGCTGAGACGTTGTGGTGCGTTACCATGGTGACTCGACAACGGAAGCTTCTCTTCCAATAACTCAGACATGACCATCGCCTCCTTGTGTGACTTAATTTCCCACAAATGAAAATACCTAGTTTGAACAGCTTTAATAAAAAAAGTGACAAAAAGGCCACTAGAAGAAGAAGAAACTCCCAATGAACGTCTGCTGAACCAGGGTTAGAGGCGGGACACAATCCTGCTGCACCAATAAGCTCCCGGCTGGTTTGTGTGTGAAATGGACACGACGGGTTGAACTAAAAACAACAAATTCCCTGTGACCTCCACGTGGACACTCACAGCGCCGGGCTCATCAGTCTCTACGGGCCCCAAACGTGCAGCAGGAACTAAGGCAGAAGTAGTAAGTCAGTCTGTGTGCGACAAATCTACAAGCAGGACCTCAGGTGGGGGGCTAATGGAGGGAGGACAGGACAAGACGCTGGTGTGTGTGTGTGTTTGTGTACAGTTTGTGTGTCCCTCCTGTTTTTTGAGTCTGTGGTGTCACACAGGACTCGCCTTACCACACACACACACTGCGAGGAAGAGGAGGGTAATCTGGGAGGAAGAGTTACATTTGGCACTTCCAGAAACCTTGGCATGTGACTGCATCTTGACCCCCTGCGCCCTCGTTCCCCACACACACCCCTCCCTCATCCCGTAGGTTATATGAAGGCACCGCCGGGCATACCCAAGAAGTTGGGTGCGCCATGGGCCGTGGGGGGGGGCGCTGAGGAGCCGCTCCAGTGCACCTTCATGTGGTGCCTCAGGTTGGACCGGGAAGAGAAGCGCTTGTCGCACTGCTGGCAGGAGAAGGGCTTCTCTTTGGTGTGGATGCGGCGGTGGCAGACCAGCTGGGTGGAAACCCGGAAGGACTTGCCGCAGTCGGGGCACTGGTAGCGTTTGGGCTCAGTGTGGATCCGCCGGTGGTTCTTGAGGGACATGAGGTTGGGGAACTCCTTCTGACAGGAGTTGCAGAAGTAGGTCCCAGTCTTGTGGCTGTTCTTGTGGTTGAGCAGCGAGCTGGCGTGACGGTAGGACCGGCCGCACTGGTTGCACACATGAGGCTTGAGGGCCTCGCCATGGCCCCCCCGGGCACGGACCCTTCCCACGGCGCTCGAGTTGAGTCCTTGCTCCTGCATCAGGGTGAGGTCCAGGCCGGACCCCCAGCCCAGCTCCTGGGAGCCCCCGGGTCGGGGCTGCTGGGGTCTGGGCTGGCGGGGCTGCGGCGGCTGGCCGTGGGTGATCTCCATGTGGAGCCGGAAGCTGGCCTGTGTGGGGAAGGCTCGCTGGCAGGAACGGCAGGTCAGCTCCCGCTGCTTCTGGTGGACGCGGCGGTGGTTGTAGAGCTGCGAAGACACGCGGAAGGCCTTGCCGCAGTCGTGGCAGCGGTGGCGCCGCGTCTCCGAGTGGATGCGGCGGTGGTTCTTCAGGGCGAGCAGGTTGGAGTAGGTCTTGAGGCACACGGCGCAGTGGTAGATGCCGACGGTGTGGGTGTTCTTGTGGTTGAGGAGGGAGCTGGCGTGGCGGTAGGACCGGCCACACTGGTCACATCTGTGCAGTAAAAATGGGGGGGGGGGGGGGATTAGTAAGAGAAGAGGGAAGTCTGTTCTCCGGTTATCTCACTTACTGGTTACCACTTGTTCTTAGAATTATTGAAAGATCTTAACATGTAACATACAGGTATATGATCTGAAATCCGGCTTAAAGCTTTTAAAGAAGACTACAGCAAAGTGGTGTACCATTTGAAGTGATTCTACACAGGTCAAAAGGGAGTAGGGGGGTTGGGGGGGACAAACTGGAGGTATCTGCTGCTCCCTGCACTGCACAATAAGACACGATCCCCAAAGCGACCATTTCTAAGACCTGCTGTCATAGCCTTCCTTTGGGTGGCTACTAGTTTCTGAATGAGATGATGACAGATCCATCAAACCAGAGAACCTCAACGCAGAGAAAACATGAACCTCTAGACATGTGCAGTGCAGCTAGCTCCAAATACTCATGGTGTCACTAGACAACTGATCAGTGCCATGATGCTACTTTAAAGAAACAAACACAAAGAACAGACATCATCATCCAGCTGATATGCTACACACAAAATACTCCATTCAGATCTGTGGCAAAAACAAAGCATGAAAACAAAAAACATCTAAAAAAATAAATGTGTGACATATGCTAACTGAAAGCAAACAGGTTTGACTTATCTGGTCTCTCCACTAATTCAATTTGTCCAAACTTCAGAAAAATCCGAATTCCGGCACGCGTATGGTCCCAAGGAAGCCGGATTGGAGATCATATACCTGGAATAGACACGTAGAGACCTAAATTTATCTTCACTACTCGTTTTGTTTTTTGTTTTGTTTTGCAACTTCGAAGAATCACAAACAAACTGACGAGAACTCACGTGTACCGACACTCGTCGCCCTCTCCTGCGGGTGCCGTGGCCTTCCTCCTCACTTCCATGCCTACCTGGTTGTCCCCGCATCGGTGCCGAGCCAGACCCGACCGGCCTTGGAAGCTCTTCCCGCAGGTGGGGCAGCCGAAGGGGGTGGCGCCCTCCTCATGGACCTTCTGGTGGTTCCGGAGGAAACGGGCCAGCCGGAAGGCCTTGCCGCACGTGTGGCAGATGTGCTTCTTCCGCTGGGTGTGGATGCGCATGTGGTTGCGCAGCGCCATGTAGTTGGTGTACGGCTTGTCGCAGAAGTTGCAGCGGAAGTTGCCGGTCTTGTGCGTGTGCTTGTGGTTGAGCAGGGAGCTGGCGTGCTTGTAGGCGCAGCTGCACAGGTCGCAGGCATAGGGCCTCTCGTCCGAATCCAGGTCCACCGAGCTCCTCTCCAGGCTGATGTTGGCAGAGCTGTTGGTGGATGAGGAGGAGGGCAGGTGCTGAGCGGGGCAGTCGTGGGCTGCCAGCTCGTCCGCCGTGGTGAAGCCCTCGCAGCAGCCGTCGCACTCAAAGTCCATCTGGACCCCGGGGCCCTGAGGCCCTTTGCACAGGCCTGCCGTGGTGTGGGTGGCCAGCTGCCGCTGGGTGCGGAATCCTTTGCCGCACTCCTGGCAGTTGTGCTTCTTCTGGGCGAAGTGGAGGCGCAGGTGGTTTTTCATGGCCAGCCGGTTCGGGTAGGTGGAGTTGCAGACATTGCAGTGGTACTCCCCGATTTTGTGAAGGTTCTTGTGATTGGCCAGGCTGCCGGCGTGCCGATACGTCTTACCACATTCCTCGCAGGCGAAGGGCCGGCGCCCGGTCTCTGACGGGTCGAACTTCTGTGGCCTCGAGGTCCCAGCCGAGGAGTAAGGCTTCTTGAAGCCCTGGTGGTTGTACTTTACGGCCATGGCCTGGCTCTTAGAGGATTCCCCCCTCATGCTCTGCATCTGGGACGTCCCGGGCTGCTGGAAACGGGAGCCGTTGGTACTGGTCCGTACCAGACCTTTAGCCCGGTGCTCCTCGTGGAGGCGGAGGTGGTTTATCAGCTGCTTTTGGATCTTGAATGCTTTGCCGCATTCTTCACACTTGTGCCTACAGAAACACAACAGAATCTCTGTAAATACACAACATCTATAAACTTAAACCAACATGATCAGAGACTAGAACCATGTGTCTTTTATCCTGAAATAACTCCGGCCAGCCAACAACTAGAGCCTCAGAGAGGTAGAGCATGTGTACCTACCTTTTGAGATCGAAATGGGTCCTCTGGTGGTTCTTGAGAGCCAGCAGGTTGTAGTAACGCTTCTGACAAACAAGACAGCGGAACACACCGGTCTTGTGTGACTTCTTGTGGTTGAGGAGTGAGCATGGGTGTCTGTAGCCCCGCCCACATTGGTCACACTTGTGGGGCTTGTCGCTTTGGTCAACCATAGACCTGCGTCCGTCGCTGCCAACGTCACGGCTCCCCCCGGGTCCTCCCGCCCCGCTGACGCTGTCTCCCCCGGACATCCCTTTGGCTCCATTCAGGGCCTGCTTGCTCAGAGAGCTGGCCCGATTCTTACCCGGGCACAGGTGCGTGATCAAGTGGTGCCGGTCGGCGAAGAACATGCCGCAGTCCACACAGATGTGGTTGCGTCCATCCATCTTGTCGTTGCCATTGGTCGAACCACCCGCGATGCCTTGCTGCTGCTGACCGTCCTGCCTTTGGGGCCCGTGGACTAGCTGGTGGTTCAGGAGGTCCTGCTTCCTGGAGAAGCTCTGGCCGCAGGTGGAGCAGATCATCCTCCACTCCTGCTCCAGGCTGGAAGGCCCCGGCCCCGTGGGGTTGTTGGCGTGGCTGCGCAGGTGGCTCCTGAGGGCCCTGAGGCTAGCATAGTGGTTGCCGCACACCGAGCACTGGTAAACCTCCCCGTCGTCCTCGTCGTCCTTGTCGTTGCCGCTCATCCTCTTGCCCCCACCCTGGGAGTACTGTCGCTGGCCACCGCCTTCTTTCAGGCTGCTGGAGCTCCCGGTGGGCAGCGAGGTTCCGCCGGAGCCGTGGTAGCTCAAGCCGGCCATAAAGCCGTTGGACATGGTGCTCTGCTGCGGCTGCTGGCCGCGGCGCGGGCACATGTGCGACTTGATGCCGGACACATCTCCATACATCTCGCCGCAGTCGGCGCACACGTGCCTGTCGGCCTGCCGGTGAGCAGAGTTGCTCTGGGAGAGTGAGCCGCCGTCGAAGCGGTCGTGGAACTCCAGAGAGTCCAGCCCGCTGCTGTGGCCGCCATCAGGGACAAAGTGGGCGGAGTCCCCCAGGTTCCCCGGCAGGGAGATGGGCGTGGTCGCCCCGCTGCCCTCCTGTACGTAGCTCTGTTGGGAGTCCAGGGTCAGCGGCTCCGGGGACAGCCAGTCGTTACTGTCGTTGTTGATGGGCTGGTTGGCGCCGCGCCCCTTGTGGCTGCGCAGGTGGCTGTGCAGTGCCGCCAAGTGGGGGTACTGCTTGCAGCAGATGGTGCACTGGTAGTGCCCAGTCTGGTGGCAGCGCTTGTGGTTGACCAGGCTCCCTGCGTGCCGGTAGCTTTTGCCACACTCGCCGCACTTGAAGCGGCGCTCCCCGTCTTCCGGCGAGTTGGCCTGGGGGACGCGGCCCCCGGAGGGCGAGGACACAGAGCCCTGTGACCCGGAGCTCAGCGTGTCCGAATTGAGCAGCGAGTTGTCCTGGCCGTGGGAGCCAGGGTGGGGGTCGTGGGTCAGATAGTGGACCTTCAGGGTGTCCAGATCCGGATGTCCCGCGCCACAGTATGCGCAGGTGTAGATGGGGTTGTTGACCGGGGGGCCCATGATGGGGTCGTAGGGGCCTCTCTTGTCACTGGGCAGCGGTGGCAGCGGCAGAGGGTCGCCCAGGGTGGGAGGGTACACCGGCGCTCGTACCGCAGTCAGGTTGTGGGGCATGATGCCCGGGAAGCTGCGCGGCAGGCCGAGGGAGGGCGAGGCCGCGTTGTGCAGCAGTATGTGCTCCTGAAAGTCTGTCTTGTTTGGCAGCGCAATCTGGCAAAGGTGGCAGAAACACGAGGCTGTGTCATCGCTCTGAGACGACTGCGTTCCGCCGCGCTCCGACCCGTGGAGGCTGTTGCCGACGCCGCTCACCATGGTCGCACCGGGGGTCTTGAACTTGGAGTGAGTTCTCTCGTGGCTGTTTAAGGCCGCCAGGTTGCTGAACGGCTTGAAACACACGGCGCACTTGAAGGTTCCCTGCTGGTGACACTTCTTATGGTTCACCAGGCTGCCGTGGTGCCGGTATGTCCGGTCGCACTGGTCACACTTGAAGGGTCGGTCCCAGGCGTCGTCCGATTCGGGGGACCCTTTCTTCCCGTGGTCCTCGGTCTCGTGGCTCGGCAGAACGCCGTGTCCCACGCCGCTGTTGTTCAGGTGAGGGCGCCCGAAACCTTCGGAGAGGTCCTGGGCGAGACTGTAATCCCTCTCGTCGTGGCCTGCCTCCTCAGGCACCTCCTCGCTCTCCTCCTCGGCGTGTGCGCTGCTGGGGGAAAGTGTGTGGATACGCAGGTGGTTCTTTAGGGCCACGGCGTTGGGCAGCGTGCGGGTGCAGACGGGGCACTGGAAGGAACCCACCTCGTGAGACTTCTTATGGTTGGCGAGACTGGCTGCGTGCTTGTAGATTCTGCCACACTGTTCACACTCAAAGCGCCCGTTCTCTTCCTGCTGGTAATGTGCTTTCATGTGTTCTAGGAGACTTGGAGTACTCGGACAAACCATATCACACTCTTTACAGGGGAAACCCTTGGCTCGACTCATATCATGCATTGCCATAGTACTCTGGAGCAAATCGTGGGGAGGGGAGGGGGGGTCACGGTTCACCTGGAAATAAATGAACGGTGACTTTTGCGGCGGTTAGCTCTTCAGCTGAGGGCGGCCATTTTCACACCAGATACGGTTCGGCCAATCGGGGGCCCACCTTGAGAGGAGGCGGGCCTTTGGGGTCACACCAGCCAATGAGGTCTTACTGTGGAGACAAGAACAATAGAGGGTTATTTAAATCTCTAAATCAGGAATCAGGAAACATTTATTGCCAAAATATGTCAAACATACAAGGAATTTATGTATATGTTTCAATCGACAACAAGACAGCAGTGCACACGTAGTCAATAATATTCAATGATTCCTAAGTGAGGACTGAATCCTACTATCTTCAAACTAACTATTAGTATGAAAGATTATTTACAGAGCAACCAGTTCCTCTGTTATGTTATGTAAATTGAATATTTATTTGTTAAAATATTACTTTGTTTTTTTGGGAACATGGGAAGGGCTTTTTAATTAAATTAATTCATTAAAAAGACAAAAACTATTGACCAAAATAAAATCTCACTTAACAGCAGATTTACTGATTTAACATGGGGAAATGTTTTATGCAAGCAAAAAAAAAATTCAGACATACGTCAATATATGTATTTGTTGTTGATGGTCAGTGTTGTTTCATTGGGGATGTATTAAAATTACTTAAGGGCAGGGAAATAGTTTAATGTTACTCTTGAAAAAATACGTGATTGTTGGTCAAATACATCATAGAAAGGGGTTTTGTTTTTTGTTTTTCAATTTTTTATGCTTATCAAAAGGATCAATATGATCAGTACTCCTGTTATTTGTAAAATCATCTTCACATTATACACAGAAATTGATTTTACTCTCATGAATTATTTGTGTATACATACACAAATAATAATAATAATAATAATAATATATATATATAATTCCAGACCCCATACCAGTAAGATACCAGTAACCAGAACAGCGTCACACAGAGATAATAAACCAGGTTGATTTATTGAAGCAGACGGTAATAAACACGTTGATATTAAATTACTGTTATTGATCATTAATCAGTCTTTGAAATAAAACCGTTATTTGTTATATTATTTTCTAATTTTGAAGAACCCTTTAATTGATGACGAGAACAATAGTTACAGCATACAATTAATTCGAATTTTCTTTATTACGCATTGCCTGTGGAAATAAATATTTCTACTGTTTCTTGTATCTTTAAATAACTTTTTAGAGAATCAATTAAATGTATTCAGGTGGTGTCAGCAGGTCGATTTCAGAACCACCAAGTTATTTATTTATTTTTATATTTGAGATCAAAATGAGGTCCATTAATTTAATGCTAGGTGAAATAATCCACAATAATCTAGAAGCGCCATTTTTTTTAGATCAACCAGCAGCCAATCAGAAGCCGCCGTATAATGTAAACAAACGCAGAGAAAGGAGCGCAAACAGCGTTTTATTCACCGAACCACGGAGACGGAGCGGAAAGAACCGGGTCCGTTCGCACATGCGCGGTTACACGCACAACAATCATCATTTCTGGTTGTACATTATAATAACTGCTCGGCATCATCAGACCCGGGGGGCGCGCTGACCTTGGGCCCGTCTCCTCTCGGTTCCGTTTCGGCCCAGCGGGAATTCTACCCGAACAAAAGCGGAGCAGCTTCTCCGACACACGGCCGACATTTGATTCAGCCGCCCCCGGGGCCATACACACGGGGGGGGTCTCTCTGCCGCCCCCCACCCCGCTGTTATTTTTTTGGTGGGGGGTTTAAAGCCGATGCAATGCTTCCGCCAGAGCGGTGACAACACCTACAGCCTCCGGCCCCACTCTCACTGATACCCGCTTCAGCCATCTTACCCCCATGCTAACGGGGCTAGCATCTCCACGGGGCTAGCCCCGTAAACGCAGACTGCTAGCCCGCTGGCTGTGGCTAGAACGTTGCAGGTGCGTTTGGTTGTTAAAAACACATTATTGATTTTACACCAAAAATAACCTTATGAGACACGTAGGTGAAAGTCACGATACACGGCCGAGCTAGCTTTAGCATCTAGCTAGCTGCACCCCCCCCCCTCCTGCGACGAGAGAAAGGGGGCAAAACGGAAGTAGTAAATACCATAAAATGGTAAACAAAAACAACAAACAGCTTAACGCACCAAGCTCCGCGAGTTACAGACACCCCCCGGTGTATTTTAAAGCCCCTCCCGGAGCACAGCGAGGGTAAACGGCCGCCGCTGCATGAGCTCGTAGAGGGGCTAGCATCGTCGCTAACCCAAGGCTAGCCCCGAGCTACACAAAGATCTCGGCCCCCATTGATGGAAAAACATCGGGGGGGTTTCTGCCACCTTTTCCCGCTCCACACTTACCCCTCGATCGGCCTCTGTGCCCGCGCGTGACAGCGATGCACGGCGTGGGGGTTTAGAGTGTGCACGTTTCATGGATTCCGCATGATTATTTTTCTCCTCCTCCGGTTCAAACACCGACTTTTGGTTATTGGTTCTCCCCCCTCGCTTGCGCTCCCCCCTCGGGCTCCCCCCTCCCTACCGCCGCTTCGCCTGGATACTTCCTGCCGCTGCTCGCCGCGCGGCGCTGCGCGTCACCGTGCGCAGAACGGAACCCATCCAGTCAGCTCATCCGAGGTTCTGCTGTGACGTCATTAGAGTCCGTTCGCATCCACATCGGGAACCGAACCGAATCCCGGTTAAGAACACGGTGAGGTCATTTCACCGGCACGCGTTCACCCTGTGATATAAATACTGCGTGTTTACTGACCGATACCCAATTCATATTTATTTTATTATTATTGTTATTTGAGGTACAAATCCTATTTATGCCGGACTACATCTCAGAGATTATTTTCAACAGTTTAATATTACTTACTATTTCGATTCGATTTAATTAGAATTTCACCTTCCTACGAATGAGAAAAACATGGTTCATCTTGGTTGTGAACTATGTCTCCCAGAACCCCTCGCTTCGGTCCTGACGTCATATTTCCTCGCCTGTGTTCCGCTCGTTCCGAAGCGTCGGGGATAATAGCGCGTTTCTTAGACTGTGCTCTCCGGTAGCGGCCGTTAAACCCACGCGGTGTCCGTCTGAGCGCGATGGGGCCCGTAGAGGTAAATCATCCATGTTATTATTATTATATTATTGTTATTACGAGCATTAACTGTCTCGCTTACGGCAACTATTGGCGTCGACCCGCTGTTAGCTCCGTTAGCGCTTTGTTGTTGTTGTTGTGTTGCTAGTGGCGATAATGTGATGGAATAATAGATAATGTCTACGTTCACATATTAATGTCAACGGCGATAAATGAGCTTCGAGACTCGGCAGGAAGGAGACTGTTGTGATGAGTTAGTGTTTGATTGCTTCTTAATAAAGCTCATCTCAAATTTGAACACGTTTAAAGACGCGCACGTGAGAGTTTGGAGAAGTTGGTGAATAAACTGATGTGACGTTAATAAATATGTTTGATGCTCGTTAGACAGAAACATGAAGCAGCCAAACTCCGGCGTTTGTCAACCAACTGGTCTGAGCGTCGTTATTTACTTAACAGCAGCAGTTGTTTTCGCCTGATTCGTTACATTCACGAGCACATTGCACCACATAAACAATGGTAGTCGCTGCGGTGTATAAGTGAGTACTGCACCACGTAAGAAGACATTCATTAAGGAAGATCCACAGCCTGGATTGGAACTCGGTCGAGCAGTAAACAGTAAACCATCCCGAGGCAGATGTGCTGCTCACTCCTGTCATTTATCTCTTCAGTGTCCACAAAACGTGTTGGTTCACATTGACCCTGTAGAACACTTCCAACAGGCCTCAAGACACATTTGGACTAAAGCGAATCTCCTGGGCCCGATTTTTCAAAATGTTTGATCCGGATTTAGTAATCCTTTTTTTTGCGATCCGTGATCACGTAATCCAGTTTACTTTTGAGACAGTTTTTCAAAGCAACATCGGATTGGATCAATCTGATCCGCATAGGAACTTTTCAGGATCACCACATCTAGATAAGCAGCGCTCAAACAGGATAGGAAATTACAATATAGAACTATCGATATGTAAAGAGCAACAAGTAGAATAGCCAGTGTGGGCTCAATATAAGTTTATTTGTATTTGAAATGAAAACACACACATTTAAAAAAACTAAAAACAAGAAAAACGGACTCCATCGTCTTCCAGCAGTCCGCTCACCTGAGACCTACAACACAAACGCTGAACGTTGAGGATATTTATAACAAGTTTCAAATATAGATGTATTGAATTAAAAAAAAGACTTGATGTCAAATACTCCTCAATAATTTCAGACTTCATGTGATGTGGAGAGCAGCTTGTCTGAGCGTAGCCTCTAGGAGTCGGGCCTCGGTTTGCTGCAGTTTGGTGAGAGTCAGTTGTTCCTCTGTCAGCACGAGCAACAAGGGACCAAATAGTTAGACACTATTTCTGATTCGGATTTGTTTTGGATTTCAAAAGTCAGTGATTGCCATTCTTTGCATGTTTTGGGTTATTCTGTAATCATTGCATAAACCTAGTGACAGAATAAAATGTATTGTTTTTGGTCAATTTTGACAGCTGTTTGGGGGATTATTTTATCGAACTCTTTGTACTTTGCTGTAGGCCGATACTGAAAGGCTGAATACATTAAAGCCTACCTGACCACTGTAGCCTGACGGATGAACAAATCAAATTAAAACCTTAGAAATAAGGTTATCTTGGGGACATCTATCTTGTAAGATACTGCAGGATCACAATATAGTATAATTTGATACATTTTTTAAGTTTTCATTACATTTTGGGCATGAAATCCACGCTGAATCCACCCTTCTGATGGGACCAGTTTAATCCAAATCCTACAAAAAGTTCTGAAAAACCCAAACTAAAGGTTTGATCCGGATCAAAACCAAGATTGGATTACGTAATCTAATCAGATTATGTAATCCGTTTTTTCTTTTGAAAAATCCATTTTCAAGATTTGATCCGTTATCCAGAATCCTGCGGATTACTTTTGACAAACCGGGCCCTGGCGGTTGTACAGTGACGTACATCACGACCACTGCCGGTGACATGTTCAGGAAATAGGTTGAAGACCGGATCGGAGCTACACCGCGAATCACCACGTTACCTGCTGGTGGTCGCCTGGCCGTATGATACCGCGCAGCTTAATGGACGAACCACATGTTCACCATCAGTGTGGAGGAAACGTTTCTGTGGAGTGATCTTAAACAACTGGTTGCCTTTCTCTAGCGACCAGGCTGCCCGACCCCTCGGGGACTCAGGTGACCTCACCTGGTGACCTCACCTGGTGTAGACGTGACAGGACTCTGCCAAACCCCCACGTTGTGTTAAGGCGCCCGTTGACCCCTGATATTTAAACTGGTCCCTTCTACTCTCCCCCCTCCTTTGTCCTGCTCCCTCTCTCCTGCAGCTCCTCCACATGTCCGTCTTCTCTCAGAGTTTCTCCCCCTGTGGGCGGTTTCTTGCTGCAGGAAACAACTACGGAGAGATCGCAGTGTTCAGGTGACGCTCGTGAAGCCAAGCGGCGTTCTCATCACCGGTTGACATTGAAACTGATGATATTGTTGGTTGTGTTGCAGCCTGTCTGCCGCCTTAAGTCCAGACGCCACGGCCCAAAGTCAGAAACCCGTGCTGACGTTCTCCGGTGAGTGGAAGCAGAGTCTGGTGAAGAGCAGCTGGTGTAGTTGTCTAATGTCCCACCTTCTCCCTCAGCTCATGAAGGCCCCGTGTTCTCGCTCCTCTCCAACGACTGCCACCTCCTCAGCGCGGGGAGCGGGGAGGTGAGCTGCTGGAGCTGGGCGGAGCTCATCAAGAAGGTAGCTATCTTTAAACGTGGGCCAGGAGGAACCGTGTGTGTTCAGATGATTCATGCTTCCCTTCGTCTCCTCAGAACACCAAACCTCTGTGGACCAAGAGGCCCAACTACAAGTGAGACTCGTCGGTCTGTCCCGCCCCCGCCCCCCCAGGCTGGTTCTCTAACGTTGTGGTTCTGGTCCTCAGGTCCAGTCTCGAAATCCCGGAGATCAACTCCATGACCTTCAACTCCAGAGTGAGCAGACACACTATGTATTTCTATGTTAGCGTGACGAAGTACTCCATGAAGTACACAGAGCACTGTAATATAAAGTACTCCTTCCTCAGGACAACAGTCTGGTTCTGGCCGGAGGAGACAACAACGTCCACATCCTGGACCTGGAGCGCGGCCTGTTCAAGGTGAGTGATGTTCAGTTTAAGCTCCGCCCCCGGCGGGAGACCCAGACTCACCCTGGTTCTGCGTCTCCAGTCCGTCCTGCAGGGCCACTCGGACTACGTCCACTGTGTGAGCGTGAGGGGCCGGGAGGGAGAGATCCTGTCGGGGGGGGAGGACGGAGCCGTGCGCATGTGGGGTGAGTGAGTGGCGGCGGCCATCTTTGTCCCAGTCTGCAGCTTCGCTATTAAGACGAATATTGTGTGTTTCAGACAGCAGGACGGGTCAGTGTGTCCACTGCATCGAGGTCCACAAGTACGAGGTGACGCTTCACATGGAGCCCCCCCCCCGTCCTCTCCCCGTCCTCCCCCCGTCCTCCCCCCATAGTAAAGTGCCTGTGTTGTTTTCAGAGTTGTGCTCGGCCTCAGTTTGGTAAATGGATCAGCTGTGTGACCACGGACTCTGATTGGATGGTGAGCGTGCACGCACACACACGCACACACACACACACGCACACCACCGATTATCAGCTGACGATCACTTCCTGTCCTCCAGCTGTGTGGTGGGGGTCCGTCTCTCTCTCTGTGGCATCTCCGCTCTCTGTCTCCCACCTCCATCTTCCCTCTGATTGGCTGCCAGAGACAGACCAGCTTCTACCAGGACATGGTGAGACGCCCGTCCGTCCGTCTCGGTCACACCGGGTCTGGGAAAGTGTTATATTCATGTTTGCTTTTAAAAGCAAACAAACGCTCAATAAAAGCCGGACGCTCTGGTACTCGCGGCGAACGCACCTTAACTTAAAGGGTGTAGCGGCGTCCGTTTGTCAATAAGCTGTAACGGTGACTTAATGTCCTCACTGACTCTTCTCGTTTTCTTTATTTTACGCATCAAAGCGATAATTAATTAATCCAGACAAAGGAGCGTCAATCCGACAGAAATACTCGTTATATATCTTCAGTTCCTGCAGAATGATAAAATGAATCCACCCACTTACAGAGACACTGACAACCGTTCATACCAAGGACAAAAAAAAAGGATTTGTTCCGGTACCGTTTAAATATTACATTGTCTCACGTTTTCATGTTTTAACATCATGGATCTCTCCCCCCCCCCCCCAGATCCTGGCCGTAGGAGACGGCCCGGCCGTCTCTCACTGTTTGCTCGGTGGGGAAGTCAAGGCTCAGATTCCGTGTTCTCCTCAGAGCCTCAACACCCTGCAGCTCAACACAAACAGCACCGATTACAGAGTGAGACCCTGAACACACCGCATGAGACTTATGATGTCATCATTTGTATTTAACATGTCTGATGTTCAGGTGCTGACGGTCGGAGGAAGCAGCGACCACATCGACGTGTTCACCAACCTGTCGTACAGGACGTTCTCCTTCAGCTTCTAACAAGTTATTTCAAACGTAATAAAATGTGGTTTTCTACAAATTGTCATTATCTGTAATAAATGAAACAAGTCTCTGAAAAGCTACGGTTCACATCTTCAGTTTTTTTATTACGATAGCAAAAAAAAAGTTAGTTCTTCGCTCCTGTGGAAATGAACTAAACCGACCACGCGTTGCATTCAGGGGCAGAATATATATTGGGACAGACAAGCACCTTTTCCCTTTTGAGTTCATTTTATGTACAAGCTCAGTTTGCCCAGAACGCACTAGGCCAGAAACATCCTCCCCGATGGGGCCTTCAGGGACTAAGACGAGCGTGGGAACAACATCTGCAGGTGGTTTACACAGCAAGAGGACCGACACCTGAGATCAGACAGGGGCGGGGCTTCAGGCGGCAGACAGACAGGCCTGGCGGACGCTCTGGGCCCAGGTGTTCAGAAGCTCCGTCACAGAGTGTTTGTCGGGGAGCTGCAGAAGTTTGGACGTCATGTTTCTGTGGACCGTCTGCAGGAAGCCGTTCGCACCTGCTGGAGCAGGGCAGCAATCATCACATGGTCAACCAGACTTTACTTGTCACCACATGAAGACCAGGTGCTTCTGGTGCATGGGGGTCTCACCGTACTGGTCCTCCTCGTCGGCCCAGTAAGGGCTCTGATCAGGGTAATCTGCTGGTACGCTGAGCTGCAGAGGAGGAACGCTGGGAAGGTTCTTATCATCTGAGGAGGTTAGAGACCGAGGGTAAGAACATGCTCAGGGCAACAGGGCAACATGTTATGGTGGGTGGTTACCATTTCTACTGGTCCTGATGGTCTACCTTTCATTCTACTGGTCAACCACGTGTACTAGTGGCCTACAGGTTTGGATAGTCCTTTATGTCTACTGGTTGTGATGGTTTACCATGTCTCCATGGTGTCCAGTTTTTACCGGTCTGCCACGTGTACTGGCGATCTCCGGGTTCAACTGGTCAGTTATGTCGATTGGCTCTGGTGGTCTACGGATTGGTCCCTCGTGTCTACTTGTTCTAGTGGTCCTCTGGTTCTACCACGCGTCATGTCTACTGAGTAGTGGTCTCACCCAGCTTGCAGACCAGGTGCACCGTCCCGTTGTTGCTGCAGTAGGACGGGTCCAGGTTCACCAGGAACTTGATGTCGAGCCGAGCAACCTCTCCTTGAAGGATGTTTGGGATGGACTGACGCTCGTCTTCCTCGTGCTTCCTCTTCCTCCCGGAGAAGTTTGGCGCCCTAAGAACAAGTATCAGAACCACAACAGGTCAGCTGCCGCCTCCAACCAATTCATCCCGAGTCCCTGGACCCGAACCTCTTTGAGGTTCCCAGGTTCTCTCTGGGTTCTCAACCCCCCCAGACGTACGTGATGGGGGGTCCGTGGATGGCGGTCATGGCGGGGGCGAAGGTGCGGTACAGCGAGTGGTTAAAGACGGGGGAGCGGATGTTGGCCATGACTGCGTCCAGCAGCGGTTGACACAGGTACTGCTGCTTGTTGGGCAGCTGGGGGGGCGGCGGGGTGGGCTGGAAACAACAGGGTCACACGGTTTCATTTTAACCGGCTGGTCCCCGTGGCAACCACCAACACTTCTTCCGTGACCATTAGTGCCTCGGACTCACCACGGCCATGTCGTTCTTCAGCTTCTCCAGAGCGATCTCACACTTCTGCAGCGTCTTCAGGGGACACCTGAAGAGGACAGAGCGGTCAGAGGACAGACGGGTCACAGGACAGACGGGTGTTATTGAGGAGGACTCTACCTGGTGTTTGGGTCCGTCAGGATGTTCAACAGACTCTTCATCTTACTCAGGTCTTTCTTCCTGTCTGTCGTCACAAACACAACTTAATATTAATATCGTCATGGAACCGAATGATCAATCATCAGGACCACAACGGGAATCCAATGATCTTTTTTCTATCAAACCATTAAACAGTCCGTTTGTTGTTTGGGGAGCACTGGGGTGAAAGGCTATCTGACCTTCGTTCTTGTCAATCTTATTGATCATCCTGCGCAGAGGTTCGATGTATTTAGAGAGCTGTTTCAGTTTCTCCATGTACTGCTGGTCCTCCAGAGACGTGGATCCAGGTGGACTCATCACAGAGCCGGGGTTACCTGTAAGACAAGAGGGGGCAGGTGAGAGAGGAAAAGGGGACAGGTGAGAGACTGTTTGCTGGTCCCATCGGCGTACCTGGGGTGTTGAGCGGTCCAGGTGAGGGTACTCCATAGTTGAGGGGGGTCCTGGCGGTGGCGGGGCTCTGTGAGGGCTGAGGAGACGGGCTGGGCTGGAAACCCCCCGGGGACGGAGTGGGACCGGAGCTGGAGACAGTTTGCGTAAACTCAGTACAAAGTATAAGACTGTACTATAGTGGGAGACCTGGTCGTACCTGGCTGAGTTGGGCTGTGAGGAGGGGGGCTGGGGTGACGGTTGAGGGGGAGGAGGCATCGACAGCGGGGTTTGCACCTGCCCAGGTGAAGGCGATGACATCATTGGCTGCTGTTGGGTCTGTGATTGGGCGAGAAGAGACTGAATAAGGTCTAACAAGGACTTCAGAGACCCCGCAGTCCGACTCAGTGAGCACATCTGGACAGCGCGCTACATCTGCTTCTATCATTCGTTGTGGCCGCTGTTGAATCCGTCCTGATGCTGTGTGAGCAGATTAAAAGTCAACGCGCACACAGGAATGTTTGGCAACGGCACGATTGAAGCGAATGGCGCGAAATGAAAAATTTGCCCAACACTGTATTTTCAAAGCCAATGAGGGTTGAGATGCTCCGCTGGTCATCACGCCGTCCTGCTGCCACAGCCTGAATGTACTCCATGAAAAGGAGACACACTTGCAGGCGCTCTGCAGCGGACACTGAAGTCAGTTGGTGTCTAACCGAGAGACGCCGGCACCGATCCAAGCCGACCATCCCAAAACAGTGAGACAAGCGGTGGAAAATGCACCAACAGTCGCTGTGCACCAGTATGGGGGGGGGGGGACACACGTGTACGGCCCCGCTCTGATTGTATACAGTTTCTTTGTAATCGAGTGCATATAAAGCAGATCATCTGGTGGACATCATGGGGTCAGAGGTCCGACTACGGTTAAATACCTGCTGTGTCATTGGCTGTCCTCCTACAGCGGGTGTGGGGGGGTTCTGAGGCATCCGGGTCGGAATCTGCATCACAGGACGGACCAACTTTAGAGGACACACAATAGGACAGGTTAGCAGAAGCACACACACACGTTGTCTTTAGTTTACCCCTTTTTATTTGACTTTTTTGTCTAATACAGAAACAAAGACTAATTGTGAGGAACCGTTCACCGTGAAGTGCTTTGGTGCAGGTTGTGCATGTGACACAACTGATCACATGCACAACTTGCACGCGCACACTAGAGCTGTCAAACAATGTTCTAAATTTGAATATTAAAAAACAAAAAACAACAGTAATACACAACCATTTTGTGCTGAACGGAAGCTATTTACTTAGTATTTACAATGTTGCTGGTAACCGTGTTAGCAGCAACGAGGTCATCGAGGCAGCACTTTGCCCGAAATGGTTTCTGACTCACCAATCAGATTATTTGTACATAAAATCCACTCGCCACTCTTTCCTCGCGACGGAGCGTCTTTACACGCCTTCAGTCAGTGGCGCTCAATTGGCAGAATGGCGAGGGCTGAAAGACGTGCTGGACTGGTTCCGAGAACCGGCAGCAGGTTGTTCAAACCACAGTCTCCCGTTGAAGTGCAGACAGTCTCACGCGATGACAAAGAAGGACAACAGCACAGCTGCTGACTGAATCTCTTCTTTGATAACAGTCGGTTTGAAAAAATCCGACAATTTGTTGCAGCAGTGACCTCAGGCTGGCGTAGACCTTCCTCTTTCTATCAACTATGAGAATTCCTTAAGTCTGTGATATCGGCGGACACCGTGGCCGTCATTTTGACTTTGAATCCGGCGGGAATTACTCTCACAACACAGCTGGTGTGCTGACGTCATCTCGATTTTAATTGGTCCATGTTTGATACGTAACATAGATGATTATTGGCATAACCTACTTGTGTGACAGCCGGTGTGACACCAAAGTCAGCCTAGACAGGCCAACAAAATGCTTCGGCCCCTGGTGAGGAGCTTTTGGAACGTCTGCCAGAGATGTGGACAGCTCTTCCCCCAAGTCTACCAAAGATTTGACCCCTCCAAGGAGGCTCTGATGTCCAATGGTGTCAGAACTTCCTTGAGGCCAACTGAAAGTCCTCCTACACGCTCTACCACGACTCCTCCCACGGCTGGGTTTTTGTCCTAACACAATTTATTTATCACTACAGTTTATTACACATAGAGCTCCTGGCTGCACTCACCTGCCCCGGAGCGCCTGCTGTTGCGTTGTGTTGCGCCTGAGCTGCAGCTTGCTGCAATGATGCACGGGCCTGTTTTCACACACACACACACACAGAGTTCTGGGGGTGAGCTGGAGAGAATGCATAATGATGTAATAGTCACAGAGTTTATCAGTGGCAGAGCAGCCTCCAGCAATAAGAACCACATTGAGACTCACCTGCAAGGTCTTTTGCAAGATGTGCTGACCCGGCTGAGGCTGAACCTGCTGCTGCTGCTGCTGAACCATGTGCTGGATGGATTGGACATGGGCCTGGGCCTGGGCTTGGGCCTGAGCCTGGGCTTGGGCTTGGGCCTGGGCTTGTGCTTGTGCTTGGGCCTGGGCCTGGGCTTGTGCTTGGGCCTGGGCTTGTGCTTGGGCCTGGGCTTGGGCTTGGGCTTGGGCCTGGGCTTGGGCTTGGGCTTGGGCCTGGGCCTGGGCCTGGGCTTGCTGCTGGAGCTGCAGAATCTGCTGCTGCTGCTGAATCCTGGTCTGGTGCATCTGATCAAAAGAGCATGAGAGACAGATATCAGTATATGTGATGTTAACAACTAAAGAGTTAGAGTGGTTTGTGCCAACAACTACCGCTAATCTCCAACCTGTCCAAAGTCCTTGAGAAAGCTGCAAACCATCCCAACTCAAGTCCCACCTCAATCTCCATAATGCCTACGAACCTTCCGGCTTCTGCTCAAAACACAGCACAGGAAACGGCGTACTGAAAAATACAAATGTTGACTCTGGCTTCCTCACCATCCTCAACGCCGCCTTCGACACTATCAATCACTCCATCCTCCTCTCACGTCTCCTGTACTCCCTTGGCATAACTGGCACCGCCCTCTCCTGGTTCACCTCATATCCCTCAGACTAACCTTGACTAATTTATTGCCATTAAACAAGTATAAATCCTCCACGGTGTCCCCCAAGGTTCCGTGCTTGGTCCCCTCCTCTTCATCAATTACATCCTTCTCCTTGGCCAAATCATCCGTCGTCATGGCCTCAACTTCCACTGCTACGCCAACAACACCCAACTCTACTTCTCCTCCGAGAACATCACCGCAGTCACCCACTCCACTCTCACTGACATAAAATCATGGATGCAACAGAACTTTCTCAAACTCCATTATCCATCTTCAGCCGCTTATCCGGGGTCGGGTCGCGGGTGCAACATCTCCAGCAGGGGACCCCAAACTTCCCTTTCCAGGGGCCCATTCTACCAGCTCTGACGAGGGGATCCCAAGGCGTTCCCAAGCCAGAGCAGAGATATAATCTCTCCACCTAGTCCTGGGTCTTCCCCGGGCCTCTTCCCAGCTGGCCGGGCCTGGAACACCTCCCTAGGGAGGCGCCCAGGGGGCATCCTCACCAGATGCCCAAACCACCTCAACTGGCTCCTTTCGAGGCAAAGGAGCAGCGGCTCTACTCCGAGCTCCTCACGAATGGCTGAACTTCTCACCCTATCTCTAAGGGAGACGCCAGCCACTCTCCTGAGGAAACCCATTTTGGCCGCTTGTACCCGTGACCTAGTTCTTTCGGTCATGACCCGTCCTTCATGACCATAGGTGAGGGTAGGAACGAAGATTGACCGGTAGATCGAGAGCTTTGCCTTCCGGCTCAGCTCTCTTTTCGTCACAACGGTGCGGTAAAGCAAGTGCAATACCGCCCTCGCTGCTCTGATTCTCCGGTCAAACTCACACTCCATCTTCCCTTCACTCGTGAACAAGACCCCGAGGTACTTGAACTCCTTCACTTGGGGTAAGGACACATTCCCTACCTGGAGTAGGCAATCCATCGATTTCTTGCTGAGAACCATGGCCTCAGATTTAGAAGTGCTGATCCTCATCCCGACCGCTTCACACTCGACTGCGAAACGCTCCAGTGAGAGTCGGAGGTCACAGACAGAAGATGCCATCAGGACCACATCATCTGCAAAAAGCAGTGATGAGATCCGCAGCCCCCCAAACTGTAGACCCTCCTCCCCCCGACTACACCTCGATATCTGGTCCATGAAGACCACAAACAAGATTGGTGACAAGGCGCAGCCCTGGCGAAGGCCAACCCCCACCGGAAACGGCTTCGACTTACTGCCGAGCACCCGAACACAGCTCTCGCTTTGAGCGTACAAGGATTGGATGGCCCCAAGCAAGGACCCCCTCACCCCGTACTCCCGCAGCACCTCCCACAGTATCTCTCGGGGGACCCGGTCATACGCCTTCTCCAAGTCCACAAAACACATGTAGACTGGATGAGCACACTCCCAAGCCCCCTCTATGATCCTGGAAAGAGTGAAGAGCTGGTCCGTTGTTCCACGACCAGGACGAAAACCGCATTGTTCCTCTTCGATCCTTGGTTCGACTATCGGCCGAACCCTCCTTTCCAGCACCTTAGAGTAGACTTTACCCGGGAGGCTGAGTAGTGTGATACCCCTGTAATTGGCACACACTCTCTGGTCCCCCTTTTTGAAGAGGGGTACCACCACCCCGGTCTGCCACTCTTTTGGCACTGTCCCAGACTTCCACGCAATGTTGAAGAGGCGTGTCATCCAAGACAACCGCCCAACACCCATTGCTTTTAGCATCTCTGGACGGATCTCATCAATCCCCGGGGCTTTGCCACTGCGGAGTTGTTTGACTACCTCAGTGACCTCCACTAGGCAAATTGACGATGATCCCTCCTCCGCCTCCAGCTCCACCTCTACCAAAGAGGGCATAGTAGTTGGATTCAGGAGTTCCTCAAAGTGTTCCTTCCATCGCCAGATAACCTCCTCAGTCGCGGTCAACAGTGTACCATCCTTACTGTACACAGCTTGGATGGTTCCCCGTTTCCCCCTCCTGAGGTGCCGGATGGTCTTCCAGAAGCACTTTGGTGCCAACCGAAAGTCCTTCTCCATAGTTACCGCGAACTCCTCCCATACTCGCTGCTTTGCCTCCATCACGGCAGAGGCTGCTGCTCTCACTTCCTCAAACTCAACTGCAATAAATCGGAAATACTCATCGACGGCCCTATGATAATTAAAAATGTCTTTCATAGTGCTCATTTAGGGAGTGACTGTCTTGAGGAGTCAGAGGGCAAAGCAGAAAGTGCCAACCAGGCAGACACAGGTCTGATAAGGATGAGAGTTAGAGACACACCAGGCACCATAGAACACTCACGCTTTGTTCCTTATGTTTACATTAATGTCAGGAGACCACACATTGCATGTGATTGGATCTTGTATTGCGGCATGTGGACCTGCTCCTTCCCGACGCCAGTTTAGGGCGAATAGAATCTTTTCTTCTATATCTAAAAACAAGTATAAAACAATGTTCTTCCAGATGTCCCCAACCGGGCTTCCCATTTTTTATCACGTTCATTTGTTCGTTCCTTCTTTCAATTACCACCCTCATCCGCTCAGCCCTTCTCACTCAACATTAATGCCTCCATCGTCACCCCTCCAGGCTGCTCTGCAGCCTCGGTATCCTCCTCGACCCCACCCTTTCTTTCCTACCTCATGCCAACCACATCACAAAGGCTGTCTCCTTCCACCTTAGGAACATTGCACGGCTCAAACCCTCCCTTCTCCTCTGCCACCACCAAAATTCTCACCTATGCTCATCCATCCATAACCTCCCGACTTGACTACTGCAACAGCATCCTCTCCGGCTCTCAATAAAATCCTCAACAAACTCAAAGATGTTCCGAAGTCTGCCGCTCGACTGCTCACATCCACCCGCAGATATTATTCACCACCTACAAAGCCCTAAACAACCTGGCCCCTATCTCTCCAACCTCCTGCCCATCGACGCCTCAGGTCCAACGATGCAAACGCCATGAAGGCCATCAGGACCAGGCTTGGGTGAAAGGGCCTTCTCATCTTCTGCGCCCCCCCTCTGGAATGCCCTTCCCATCAGTCAGACAGTATCAGCATCCATACAAGCTCTGTAAAAACACCTCTTCAACCTCACCCTCCACAACGTGACCCACAGCTTCTCCTCTTTATTTTACACAAATGTTCTGTTTGTTGTTCGCGTCTGTTGGAAATACTGCAATGTCTGTTGTACAATAAGGTGTGTGTATGACAGCGGAGAGAAGATGACGCTCAGGATGTGACGTGTGTGTGTCCACTCAGTGTCTCATGGTGATCAGATGTATGTCTCAGGATGAAGAACATGACGGTCCTTGTACAATGAGATCATTGTGCGTTTATCGCACCTCATCCCAGTTTACATGTGGGGGCTGGAAAAGAAAACCGTGGCGCATCACTGTGTGTGTCCGTCAACTCTGTCTCCTGGTTAAATGAACATTAAATGTCCTATTTTTGAGGATTTTACATCGGTGTCCAGTAGTCATTTTTCTTACAGCGTCTTTGGGTACTTAGAAAAGTGCTTTTTAAAATGAAAGTGTTACCTTGAATATTACATTACAGGTCATTTACCTGATGCTTTTATCCAAAGCGACTTACATTACACTTTAAACTCATGGCTTTTTTTACATTTTGCCCGGGGAGCAATTAGGGGTTAGGTGTCTTGCTCAGGGACACTTTGACTTGAGACATGGGGCAGCCGGGACTCGAACCACCAACCTTGCGGTTCCCTGGGCACGCTCTACCGCCTGCGCCACGACAACCCCATGCTCATAGACTCTTGTCAGCAGCCAACGCGCTCAGAGATGATCACTGGGCGAGATGCTCAACCCCCCCCAGGGGTCTCGCTTCAATGCTTCATACCTGGTTCTGCTGCTGCTGGTTCTGTGCCTGCTGCTGGTTCTGGTGCTGAAGTTGCTGGTTCTGGTGCTGAAGTTGTTGATTCTGGTGGTGCTGCTGCTGCTGTTGTTGTTGTTGTTGTTGCTGTTGTTGTTGTTGTTGTTGTTGCTGCTGTTGCTGCATCTGCACCCTCAACTGCTGCTGCTGCACCTGAAACTGCTGCTGCATGCTGTTCTGCTGCTGCTGGAAATGTTGGAACTGGATGGACTGCTGCTGCACCATCTGCTGCATCGGCATCTGTCCCGGACCCCCGACTGCAGGTGGCGGAGAAGGAAATGAAGGACACAACCTGGCAGCGTCGGAAATACACGAGGGCAAAGGGCAAAATCGCCCCCAAGAAATATAATTTTGTCCCTGATATCACTAGGAGAGGGGCAAAAAACCCCATAATTTCCTCCAACAATAATTGCAATTTAGTTAACTTGTCAAACACATCGTAGCCTTAAGCCTACGATGTGTTTAGCGCATACGTCTGGAGGCGCAGACGTATGCGCCCCCTGCGTCTGCGTCTCTTTTCACACCTCCTTGCGTGCGTCGACTCATTTTTCTAGACGAGCATCAAGCGACGCAGCGTCCTGCAGCACCAGGCTGTGATTGGTCTGCTAACTACGTCCTTTACGGAGTCTCACATTTACGTTTTCATAGCACGATACCAACAATATTAAAACACTGAATGTTTACGAGAGGACACACACACACACACACACTCACTAGCTTGCGGGTTTCCGGCCACCATCTGCATCGGCCCCATGGACCCCATGCCCCCCACCGGAGCGCCGGCAGGCCGAGGCCCCATCCCCATGACGCCGGGCCCCCCCCCGACCCCAGTCAAGTTAGTCAGGGCGTTAATGGGATCTAGCGGAAAAGGCAGAGCACAGATGGTGTTACGCGAGTCCGGCAAAGAAAAGTGAACCAGAACCAGAGTCCACTCACCTGGACCTCCGTGCGTCTTCTTATCTGTGAATGAGAAACAAGCTATTAACGAGTCCGTGCATCCTTTATTCAAACCTTTATCACAGCCAGGAGCTCATTGCCATCAGCTTTCATCTTTCCTACGGTCCCTGAACACATCGTGTGTGACAAAAACATTTGTCTCATTTAAAATCTCTGCTCCAATAAACCTTTCACTTTCACTCTGACCAGATTATATTCTCTTCAGGAAGTGAAAACACAGCAGAAAGGAGAGGATGAAAATAGAGGTTTAATATTTACAACATAGGTCCGGCTGGCGCAAACATTTAGGATATTTATATTGTTAACTTTCTCAGTTATTCTGAACTAAAAAGAGAGTTCTACTTCTCGTCGTCATGGTTCCATTTTCTGAGAATCTGGACTTTTATTTTGAAAATCAAAAAAAGACAGAAAAATGTGACAAAAATCCAAGAAACTTCCTTAAAGAGTCAAACTGGTTCAGGTTGGACACTTACGGATGTCTCTAAAGTGAATGATCAGCCTCGCCACCAGAGACAAATACTCCTCCTGGGAATAAGGAGCGAGACACGTCACAACACGTTAAGACATCTCTAGATATACATGTTCATACACGGAGAATCATTTATTATACTTACTCTGGATTTGGCTTTGACATAAACGTGGTTTTCCATATCGTTGCTGGACTTAGTGTGTGCAGTTCCTGCCTTCCTCATCGCCTCCTCGCTGGGGGGGGGGGGGGGGGGGGGGGGCCACAAAGAAAAAATAACGATACTCTCCCCCTGGCTCCGGGTTTTAATTCTTTCTCAAATAATCCGGAAAAACACTGTTCCATTTTTTAAACATGAAAAAAAAGGCCAATGTTTTTTTTTATTGTACCGTTATAAAAAGGAGGGCCACAAAGGGGCTGAAGGGGGGCCCCAAAGCGGGTTTCTCTTTTTGTTGTTGTTTTCTGCTGCTCAGACGGACCGCGACACGGAGTCTCCTGCAAGACGAAGGGTGGAGGAATCTGCTTCTACTCCGACAGCAGCTGGTGCAACGACGTAACGGTGATCCGACAACACGGTTCTCCTGATCTGGAAACTTTCTTCATCAACTGTAAACTATTTTACTCCCCCGTGAGTTCGCTTCATTCATCCTGGTCGGTGTTTACAACGTGCACGAGGCACAGCGGACACTCGCCGACCAGATACGCCGTGTATCGGAAAAAAAACCAAGCGATACTCATCCCCAGTCACCAGTTTGTCCTGGTCCTGAAGTTTGCGGATGACACCACCCTCATTGGCCTGATCTCTGGTGGGGACGAGTCCGCCTACAGGTGGAGTCTGACCATCTGGTGTCGTGGTGCAGCCAGAACAACCTGGAGCTCAACGCTCTAAAGACAGTCGAGATGGTTGTGGATTTCCGGCGGAACAGAGCCCCACCCTCCCCCATCACCCTGTGTGACTCCCCCGTCACTATTGTGGATTCCTTCCGTTTCCTGGGCTCCATCATCACCCAGGACCTCAAGTGGGAGCTGAACATCAGCTCCATCACCAAGAAGTCTCAGCAGAGGTTGTTCTTCCTGAGGCAGCTGAAGAAACTCAACCTGCCGAAGACGATGATGGTCCACTTCTACACGGCCATCATGGAGTCCATCCTCTGCTCCTCCATCAGCGTCTGGTACGCTGCAGCCACAGCCAAGGACAAGGGCAGGCTGCAGCGTGTCCTCCGCTCTGCAGAGAGGCTGATCGGCTGCAATCTGCCGTCCCTGCAGGACTTGTTCGCTTCCAGGTCTCTGAAGCAGCTAAAAAGATGGTGGCCGACCCCTCTCACCCCGGACAAAACCTGTTTGTGCCCCTTCCATCTGGCAGGAGGCTGAGGTCCATCAGGACTAAGACCTCATCAACAGAGCCGTTCCCCCACTGACTGACTGACAGCCCACATGCACATACACTTGTCACTTTCACATACACTCACAACACAGTTGTGTAGAGTCTGGATATCCTATTTTTATTTGTAACTTGTATTCCTTTAGTTTTAATCTAACTCATGAGAAACAAACAATAGATGTCGCAAAGTAATCGAGCAAAGAGTCAACGTAAACTGGCTGAATGAACTTCAAGTAAGCAGCTAAAATGCTAATAATAAAACATGATCGAGCGTTTTTTTCTTAATTGTACGTAGGCCGAATTGAAAAAGGGACGCATAGCTTTCTAATCAAATCCGCCCCGGGTTCGTAGACTCGGGTTACCTTTGGCTTCTGACGGGTCCGTCTTAATTTACACATTTTTAAGCATGCTCTGCGGTGAGGCGCTTTCTTGTGGAGCTCATGCTAGCTTAGCTACTCGGGCTAACTCACCAGACACCAGTAACAGTGATTTTAGCCCCAAAACACAACACAGAAAACAAACGTCTCACATCTGAGCGACGACTTTCTGCCGGAACTGCGGACTCCTCCAGTCGCTGTCCGGTCCCGGGACCTCCATGGCAGAAAGAACGAGTTAGTGGAAGCTTTCTGCTGCAAGTTGAATGTTTCCCCCGCTGCTCTTCCTCCTTCCGCTCGGAGCAAAATGGCGGCGGCTGTGTTTTCTTAAAAAAAAAAAAAAACTCGATACCGCCGCGTTCTGGAGGAGCGAGGAACTGTACAAGTACCTCCAAGTACATACACAGTGTAGTACAAGTACCACTAGTAATACATACTGAGCTGTACAAGTACCTCCAAGTACATACACAGTGTAGTACAAGTACCACTAGTAATACATACTGAGCTGTAACAGTACCTCCAAGTACATACACAGTGTAGTACAAGTACCACTAGTAATACATACTGAGCTGTACAAGTACCTCCAAGTACATACACAGTGTAGTACAAGTACCACTAGTAATACATACTGAGCTGTACAAGTATCTTTAGTAATGCTCACTTTACAGTACAAGTACCTCCAGTTACACACACTGCTACCTAACAATGAAATGCTCTTACAGAACAAGTACTACTACCACAATATAAAATATGACGTTATGAAACAGGTACTACAAACACATTGTGAAATACTTTGTGATTTACAGAATAAGAAGTGGATTCAAAAACAATATAATGTGCAAAACAAATATGTGACAATAACTTTAACATATATAAAATATATACATGTCTCACAACTTGAGTCTCTAATGTCTCATGTTTTGTGTTGTTGGAATGTAACGATATTTCAAAAATAAAAGCCTCAACCTGGTTTATGTTTGGAGTGCTTCACGTTTTATTAAAATACATAAACTTTAACTGCCACATTAATCACAGATTCCTGGTTCTTTGTGGTCTAGAAACCGATTTTTATTTTGTATAACAAAAAAACATACAGACAGACATAAAACAGTCATGTGACACATGAGAGGATGAAAGGCAGAAAAAGAGCAGTGTCACAGGAGAGGATGAACGCTGAGGGACTCCAACCAATCAGTGAGACTGAGATCAGGTCTGAGAGGCTGGGAGAGAGACAGGAGGGGAGACACAAAGAGAGACAGACAGGAGGGGAGAGAGAGGTTATCTCATGTTTATTTAAGAAACATTTTAGTATTACTTTTATTGTTACACCGTAAGTATCAGCTGCTGGTACTTTTGTACTTGTGACTGAGTACTTGTACTTCAGGTGAGCAGTACCTTCAGTCCAGATATTTCCAGGGGTTGTCCATCCCTGCGTACCGATAGCAGGCGGGTCCGTCCGCGGGTCGGATACCCATCCTCCACCTCCAGGTGGCACACCAGCAGCGCCTTCTTCAAGTAGACCAGCAGGCGCTGAGCGGGATGCCAGTCAATGGCAAAGCTGGAGGGAGGCACAGAGGTCAATGGTCAGCCTCTTAAGCCCCGCCCACTAACCATTGCATTATTCATCTGAAGGAACGGGATCTTTGAACAGGCAGGAAGTGGTTTACCTGGATCTCAGTCTCTGGATCTCAGACAGCAGATGGAACTGAGTGAGGTACCGCTGCATCACCTCCAGCAGGGTGGAGCTTAGTTCAGACCAACGGCCCCACAGGCCCTCCTCCACTAGACCAGCAGGACCCTCCGTCACCTGAGAAGAGACACTATGGCTTTAAGAAGGGCCAACCAATCAGCAGACAGGAGGATGAGTAGGTGGGGAAGTTACCTGCATTGTGAAGCGGTTGTTGTGGCTCCAGGTGATTGAAAGCTTCAGTGTCTCCGGCTCATTGGGCAACATGTCTGGAAACGGGCGTGGCCTGAGTTCCAGACAGAGCTCTGATTGGTTGAAGGAAAGCAGGTTGATCTGCATGACGTCCTGTGCGGCAGAGACAAAACCCTGCAGCCTGATAGGTCACAAAGAGTTAGCGACCAATCGGAACGACCCAACGATAACCACGTGACCTGACGACACTCACTCGTCTCTGATTCGCCGCCACCTGGTCACCTGATCGAGCGCCACCTCTAACTCTGGCCTCAGCTGGGAGAGCTGATGGTCACATGACTGCAGTCCATTGTGGGCCTTCAGCAGAGACTCATCCAGCTGTTCATACTGCTCCTTCTGAAGGACACAAGTAGAGAAGAGGATGGAACTAAGATGACCAGATGTGAGACAAGGAAACAAGGATATGACTAGAGGAGGTGAGACAAGGACAGCAGTGTTTCCCCTAGGTTTCATACTCGCAAACACATAAGCGGTGAAAAAGGTGAGAACAGGTGCGCGTATCATTGTATGTGACTAGAGAAGGTGAGAGGAGGATATCAGTGGAGACAATGATATCTCAAGAGAACAAGGCGAGGAATAAAGGAGATTGAAATGAGTAGAGGACACGAGGAAAGTAAAGAAGCGTGTGAGTGTATGTACCTTGTTGTGCAGACGTTGGATCAACTCTGTGAGTGTCTGTCTTCTGCTGTGTATTTGTTGTATTTTGTCCTGCAGAGATCTTAGCAACGTCTCCGTCTCCTCCGTCACAGACCTGCAGTCAGCCTTCAGACACTTCCACCTGCTGCGAGCCACGCCCCCTGACACACACACACACACACACGCACGGTGTCTCAAAGGCGCTAGGCTGCATCCTTGTAGCCTTCAGCAGTCTTCGTAGACCTGGGGTCCGTTTCAAGTAGGAGGTTTAACAAACTCTGAGTCAAACCCTAAACTCTGAGTTTCTGGTTTCCGAACAGCTGTTTAGAGTTGGTTCAATCAACTCAAGTAGGTTGACTCATGCGTCCTTAAGGATGCAGCCTAGCGACGTATGCGTCCTTAAGGATGCAGCCTAGCGACGTATGCGTCCTTAAGGATGCAGCCTATCGACTTTGAGACAGCTGCAGTCCATACTCTGTATACACTCTGTGTGTTCTCCGTACCAGGTTGGGGGGGGCAGGGCTGAGTCACCAGTTGCTGGGCAGACTGCAGACCTTCCAGGAGTGACATCATTGAGTCCACTACGAAGAGCTGACGACCCAGAACCTTCTGGACTTGTCTTCGGCCCTGGAGCACAGCAGTGATCAATGGGCACATTTAAGTATTGATCAGATGAATTCATCACAATGAGTACTCGTGGTTGTTGTTGACTGTACAAGTACCGTGAGGTAGGGAACCATGCAGGCCGCTTCAGAGTCACACGACTCGGAGTCTCTAAGGGAACCAAGAAGAACCGGGTCGCAGCGCCGCAGGACCCTGGACACAGAGCAGAGGTACTCATACCGCCGCGCTCAGGAACTTCATGGTACTCCAATTCCTTTGACTGTACTACATCCGAGAGGTAACGTTACATCTCGTAGTATTTATTGTACTAACAGAGGTGCATATAACGTTGCTTAAACCAGAGACGAAGCCATCGTTAATTAACGTTAGCTTCAGCTAGCTTTGTGACGCTGCCGTTAATTCTGTATTTTCAGCAGCTTCAGATACAAACTGTACATCGTTAGTGTGATCAAAATAACTGGCGAACGTTTAATACTATTTTAAAGCCTCGTTAAACGTCGTATTAATAAACACAACGTTAAATGTAAGTTAAATATTTGAGACTTACGCTCGAGCTTCAGCCATTTCTGTTTTCAAATATCCGCGGTACCGCGAGCGATGTGATTGGCTTATTGACCGTGTCGTCACAGCACGTCAAGCCAATGAGGAATCCTTTTGAAAAACCTTTATTGACAATATCCACATTCACAGTGACGTCTAGATAATCTAAATAGATATATACTTTATTAATCCGCATAAGGTAAATTTGTGTGTAATAGTGGCAATACAGTACAGTAATTACAATAAGAAATTCAAAATCCACAATATACACACAGTACAATACATATACACACACACACAATAAAATACAATAAATAGCAGAGCAGAACATATTAAATTACATTACATCACATGTCATTTATCTGACGCTTTTATCCAAAGCGACTTACAATAAGAACATTTCAACCATAAGGACACAAACTCAGAAGAACAAGAAACAAGAACGTGTGATTTCATCAAATAAGCCAGTTTACAACTTGCTGTAGATAAGAACCATTATAAGTCCAATGTAAGTGCTACAGTTAGTTAGTGTGTTAGTGGAGGTAGAGTCTGAAGAGGTGTGTCTTTAGTCTGAAGATGTGAAGGCTCTCTGTGGTCCTGATGTCTTCAGAGACCTCCTTCCACCATTTAGGAGCAGGACAGCAAAGAGTGGAGATCTAGTCGAGTGTTTTGCTCTCAGTGAGGAGGAACAAGCAGTTTATCACATGCAGAGCGGAGAGTGCGGGTCGGGATGTCGGGTTGGACCAGGTCCTGGATGTAAGCTGGACCCCATCCATTCACAGCCTGGTACGTGAGCACCAGAGTTTAGAACTGGATGAGCCACCGGTACCAGTGAAGAGAGCGGAGGAGTGGAGGAGTGTGGGAGAACTTAGGAAGGTTAAAGACCAGTGGAGCTGCTGCGTTCTGGATGAGCTGCAGAGGTGGAATGGAGGTAGCAGGAGACCTGCAGGACAGAGTTACAGTAGTCCAGGAGGAGACGACAAGAGCCTGAATCAGTACCTTCTGAGTGAGAAGAGGACGTGTTCTCCTGATGTTGTAGAGCGAGTATCTACAGGATGGTGTTGTCAGTGATGTTGGAGTCAGGGAGAGTCGGCTGTCGACGTCACGCCGAGGTTCCTGCAGTCAAAGTGGACGTGGACCGGTCCCAGAATATTTATCCAGCCTTATTAATGTGCATCAACCCTCCAGAGCCCTGAGGTCAGCTGACCGGCTGGTTCTGAACGTTCCTCGGTCGTTCCTTAAAACAAAAGGAGATGGAGCCTTCGCAGTAGCGGCTTCCAGACTGTGGAACGCTTTGGCGTTTTCTGTGCGGTCTGCGACGAGCCTCCACTTTTAAAACTCGCCTTAAGACCCACTTGGTCACGTTGGACTTTGGCTCAGTTAAGTCACCTGCGTTGGATCTTTTATTTGTTTGCCTTTTACTGTTTATACTGTTTTCTGCTTGTTTGTTTGTTTTTACGTTTGCTTGTGTTGTTTTATTGATGCTGATTGTTTTTATCCTGTAAAGCCCTTTGTCTGGCCACTGGCCTTTAAAAAGTGCTATATAAATAAAATTGCGATTGACCTAGCAGCACAACATTTAAATGTACTCACATTCTCCATAAACAAGCCCTAAAACACTCGATGAAGAAAACCCAAGTCACCATCACTGCAATATTCTCCAAACACCATGTTCTGAGTTAAAGTCACTGTAAACATACCAGCAGACTGTTGTCCGTCTTCATTTGTAACGGCAAATACCACATACTGTACGTGTTTTAACGTATTTATCTGATCTTAATTTGTGTTTGTATATTTTTATCTTATCTTACATATTCTATTTTATTCCTATATTGCACCAATCACAGAGACACATTCCTGTATGTGTAACATACGTGGCAATAAATGGATGTTTTAAGGTTAAAATAGTAATTTTAGATGTGTGTGTGTGTGTGTGTGTGCGCGCGTGCGCGCGTGCTGCAGTGCATCTCGCGCTCAGGTCACGTGCTGCTGTGTGTTGACTGCAGGGAGCTCGGAGGCTAACGGCAGAGCGAGCTGTCCTCCGAGGACAAAACGAGCCGAAAGACAAACCCCGACGGAGACAGCGCGCAGGCAGGTGGAGGTATGAGTTGACCACCACGAGGCCGGTAACATTCACAGGTACGTTATAGAGACAGTGAGGACGTGTCTCGGATGATGCTCAGACGTCCCGCGAACGCTAACACAGCTAGCAGCGCAGCTAACCGCACACTATTCTAAGCGGCCGCCGTACTTCGATGTCTCTGCCCGGACAGGTGTTGGGCTTCAAAGCAAACATGTCCAGGTGAGCTGGGCAGAGACACGTTAGCTTAGCATCCTGCTGAGAGTTAGTCAAGCCGTTGCTGATGATGCTAGCTGGAGCTAATGATGCTAGCTGACGATGCAGTAGCAGGTCTGACGTAGACCACATTTTAATGTAGTCCAGGTCTGTTGTAGACTACATGTTAATGTAGTCCATGTCTGTTGTAGACTACATGTTAATGTAGTCCATGTCTGTTGTAGACTACATGTTAATGTAGTGCAGGTCTGTTGCAGACTACATGTTAATGTAGTCCATGTCTGTTGCAGACTACATGTTAATGTCTGTTGTAGACTACATGTTAATGTAGTCCATGTCTGTTGTAGACTACATGTTAATGTAGTCCATGTCTGTTGTAGACTACATGTTAATGTAGTCCATGTCTGTCACAAATGTAGTGCAGGTCTAATGTAGACCACGTGTTAATGTAGTGCAGGTCTGTTGCAGACTACGTGTTAATGTAGTGCAGGTCTGTTGCAGACTACGTGTTAATGTAGTGCAGGTCTGTTGCAGACTACGTGTTAATGTATTGCAGGTCTGTGTAGACCACGTGTTAATGTAGTCCAGGTCTGTTGCAGACTACATGTTAATGTAGTGCAGGTCTGTTGCAGACTACATGTTAATGTAGTGCAGGTCTGTTGCAGACTACATGTTAATGTAGTCCAGGTCTGTTGCAGACTACATGTTAATGTAGTCCAGGTCTGTTGCAGACTACATGTTAATGTAGTCCATGTCTGTTGTAGACTACATGTTAATGTAGTCCATGTCTGTTGTAGACTACATGTTAATGTAGTCCATGTCTGTTGTAGACTACATGTTAATGTAGTCCAGGTCTGTTGCAGACTACATGTTAATGTAGTCCATGTCTGTTGTAGACTACATGTTAATGTAGTCCATGTCTGTTGTAGACTACATGTTAATGTAGTCCATGTCTGTTGCAGACTACATGTTAATGTAGTCCATGTCTGTTGTAGACTACGTGTTAATGTAGTCCATGTCTGTTGTAGACTACGTGTTAATGTAGTCCATGTCTGTTGTAGACTACGTGTTAATGTAGTGCAGGTCTAATGTAGACCACGTGTTAATGTAGTGCAGGTCTGTGTAGACCACGTGTTGATGTAGTCCAGGTCTGTGTAGACCACGTGTTGATGTAGTACAGGTCTGTGTAGACCACGGTTTAATGTAGTACAGGTCTGTGTAGACCACGTGTTAATGTAGTGCAGGTCTGTGTAGACCACGTGTTAATGTATTGCAGGTCTTTGTAGACCACGTGTTAATGTATTGCAGGTCTGTGTAGACCACGTGTTTATGTAGTGCAGGTCTGTGTAGACCACGTGTTTATGCAGTGCAGGTCTGTGTAGACCACGTGTTAATGTAGTGCAGGTCTGTGTAGACCTCCTGCGCATCATTCAAGACCTCAAGTGTCACTTCAACGCGGTCAAAGTTTTTTTTACAGCCTCATTCCAAGTTGGATGACATTGATTTATTTCCTCACCTCATAATGAGCAATATGTGGAATAAGTGAAGCGCTGTCTTTCCGGATGCTGAATACCATCACGTCTTACTCTATAACATCACTGAAGTTACATGTGACTAATTAAGTTTAAATACACCTAATACACAATTTAGCTTTAGTGGGATTATAAACTAACATCCGTTCCTCTGATCTCACATGTTCTTCCTCCTCTGCACCAGCTGCTGAGACACACCAGGTCATTTACGCTTCAGAAGATGAAGAGCTTGTCTTCTCCTTTGAACAACCTGAGAGTCGGTGCTCGTTGTAACGCCGTCACTGCGTTTCTCACAGCTCGTGTCTCCTCGCGGCGTGCGTGTTCGGAGGCTCGTACGCGCCTCATTCGCTGAGATTTGTCTTGGGCTGGTTTGTTCTCTCGCTCGCGCAGCAGCGTCGTCTGCACAAGTCAAATATATCGGGTGCATACAAGTTAATAAATGTATTTGTTACTGACTGTACTGATTGATTTCCTCTGCTTTAAGATTGCAATATTACTTTTAGCTAAAGGTTGAGGGCTTAACCGATTATTGGATTAATACCGTTCAGCCTGTAAGGAATCACGATCCGGAGGTGGAAACAGAAGATTACCGCTACGTTGTTTTTCGGGTCTTAAGGCTTTCACTGTAAAGCACAATCTGACAGCAGACCGTCCCTTTTTCTGGGACCACTTGGTTCAGCCTATGTGGTCATTGAGGACCTCATGAGGACGCAGCCTGAAACGACATCACGCCGATGATGTCACCGTATGTTTGATGATGTCATTATGTGTTTGATGTCGTTATCAAGTAATGAACCTCTGGTTGGATCTGTGGACGTGCGTTTCAGGGCAATCAGGTGTGAATTGGAGCAACAGGATGCCCGTCCCCCCCGCCCCACCTCGGGGACCCCCAGCCCCCCCCACCTTCAGCCAGGTAACTCCAGAGACACACACCTACCCTCTCACTTCTAGGCTACATGAGTAATGTACATATATTATTATTAACTATACTCAGAGCTTCTATTCACAGCTCGGCCCTCAGAACTCACCAGCTATGATTTATTGAACTTATGGTGTCCCCCCTCCAGGCCAACACCACGCCCCCAAAAGCTGAGCCAGAAGGAATAGGACGGCGGCGGTGCCCTGCTGAGGATGTCTGCAGAGGCCCCGGCTGAGAAGGTGGAGGGGGTG